TACGCACGCGGAAGTCCGCGGAACAGAGGGAGCTATGACATTTACCCATTCATCTGCATCATTGAATTCAACGATTTGAATTTTATGAACTCCATGATAATGAGACATACGGAGTCGAAGTGAGTTCAAATTCAAATGCATTCATCATAAAAAAAATTCTAATGCACTTAAGTTATAAATCCCAATGATGAATAGTTATCTGCTTTCGACTTAATTTTAAATATTGGGTCAATTCGAAAGTTTCCGCCGCTGACATTTAAATGTCGCCACTTGTAACTGAGCGTAGCTTGACAAGTGAATCCAATTGCATTTTGTAGATGTGACATTTAGCAATCTAACGCAGAGCAGAAAAATTCATTTTTCGTTCTGCGTCATTGTTTTTGAATCGATTGAAAATGGATCGTGATAAGGTGTTTTTTCGAGGGGCCCTTCTTTTCTTATTTGATTCGAAGAAAACTACCGCTGAAGCTCATCGAATGCTGTCAGATACTTATGGCGAGCAAGCTCCATCGGAACGAAGCTGCAGAGAATGGTTTCATCGATTCAAAAGTGGTGATTTTGACTTGAAAGACAAAGAACGTTCAGGTCGGCCAGAAGCGATTGAAGATGTCCATTTTGCAAGCATTATTGGATGAAGACCCAACTCAAACGCAAAAAGAACTTGCATTGCAGTTTAACGTCGGCCAAACAACCATTTTCAGACATTTGCACGCCATGGGAAAGATTCGGAAGCTGGGAGAATGGGTTCCACATCAACTGTCTGAAGAGCAACTTCAAGCACGAATCGCAATATGCACAAAACATCTTGCAGAGCACAAAAGAAACAGTTTTTTGTATCGGATTGTTACCGGCGATGAAAAATGGGTTTATTATGAGAACCCCAAGCGTAAAGCAGCGTATGTTGATCCCGGCCAACCGGCGCCATCCCAGCCAAAACGAGATATTCATTGCGATAAGGTTATGCTGTGCATCTGGTGGGATATGAAAGGAGTCGTGTATTATGAGCTGCTAAAACCAGATCAAACGATTAATAAGGAACGCTATCGACGCCAATTGAATGATTTGGCTCATGCATTGGATGAAAAACGGCCATTAATAGCTCGAAAACACCACAATGTTTTGTTCCACGATGACAACGCTAAGCCACATCGTGCAACAATCGTTAAAAATAAGGTAGAGCAGCTCGGTTGGGATCGGCTTGATCAGCCCGCGTACTCTCCAGACCTTGCTCCTTGCGACTACTATCTATTCCGATTGATGCAGATTGCCCTGTCTGAAGTACGCTTTCAAAATGAGGAAGAAGTGCGAAAATGGGTTGATGACTACATAACCTCAAAAGACGAGGACTTCTTCAAGCGAGGAATCAACAAGCTGCCTGAAAGATGGCTAGAAGTCATAGCTAACGATGGCGAATACATTGGTTAATGTACATTTTCAATTTATTTTGCAATAAATGTATTTTTAGACAACAAAAAAACGGCGGAAACTTTCGAATTGACCCAATACGAATGAAAGTGGACACGATTGAAATGTGATTTGATAAAATTGTTTGTTAACGAAACACTTTGGGGAACTATTTAAAATGTTTTATTTGTATATAAATTTTAGATAATGGCATCACTGACGTCACTGTCAATGTGTCAAACGGCGCTTGAGCTGGGTGAACGATGTGGCCACGATATGGACTGTACCGATACAATCAAAAGCAGCCAATGTTCGATGGCTGGCTTCTGTGAATGCAAACCGTTTTATGCTCAATTCAACGAGACTAGCTGCGTTCAAGGTATTGTATGCACATACTTCTTTTTTTTTCATCCAAAATTGTGTGAAAATGATAGAAAAAACATTGAGAAAAGAAATTGAGTCAAAATCATGATACATTTGATTGTGCTAATTAAAGTTTGAAAAATATCTACACGAAGCAATAAAGAATTGACACGGGAAAATAAACGCAAAGTGATAAAAACGGTCGTCATGCTTCATTCTTTGCGATTGGGTGTTAAATAACAATCCAAATATGAGTGCGTCAAGAATTTTTCACCGTTGCATTCAGTTATGTTTTGTGCACTTTGTGAAATTGACAGAAACATGACACACAAAAAAAACGAAAAGAAATCAAAAAAAAATCACTTAGCCTTTCCCCATTCTCATAAGAATGTTATGCCGCTAACCACCCGATAAAGCGTACGGTGTTTGCGCTAATTTTCTACATATTCGACCAAAGCATTTGTATATGACTTTTTGTATGAGTTATCACTCTTTTTATTTGTTCGTTCATTAGGCGTTCTGATTTGATCACTTTTTTTCCCCATTCTTCTTCTGGCTTTGACAAAAACGAACTGTGAACAAACATAATGGGTAAAAGACAAAACGATCTGAAGAAGAGAAGCAAAATACAAAAACAATCTCTTCGGCTTATATAGTCAAAGCGATCCGGAATATTGAGAGAAGTAAAAAAAAACGAGTCGAAGAAGAAAATATAAATATTTACCTTGACTTTGTGGCCCAAAGTGTTTGCGTGCTTCGGTCGTTTGATGTTGGAATCGAAAAAAAAACGAAAGACATTTTTCATCATAATTCCATTGAAATCGGCACTAGGTGTGAAATACATCGTATTGTTTCCAATGGATTTTCTTGCACTCTTGAGAGAGAAAGAGAGAAAATACGGTGCACACTGGTGATGACTGCAAGTGCTAATGCGCATCGGGCCAACAGCTAAAGAACAAGAGCCACAATAACAACAGCAACAACAACTGAAATAAGGCAGAAGGTGCATGGATTTGCATGAAGAGCATCGGTCGGTTTTGTGAAACCAGATAAAGCTGTAACAGAAAACGCTATTTCAGTAACACTCATTGAACCATTTATCGGTTGTCTGAAGACGCCGTTCCATACATGTTTTTGGAATGTGTAGCAGCCATGAATGCAAAAAAGAAAAAAAAATGACGAAGAAAAAAAAAACAACTAAGCCGAATAAAATGTAATAACCACAAGGCGTCCGATTTTGTTCCCCGTCTTCTTCTTCTTCCTCGTCTTCTTCTCTAAAAATGCATCGTCGTGCAATTATTCGTGCTTTGCCACTTTATCTCGATGGATCGTGTTGTGTTCGGCAAACAAAACATGAAATAGAAAAACCAGATTCTGATCATCGGATTGATTTGCATGTTTGAAACTTGCGCGAGCGTGCACACTGCACATTGCTAAATTGCACAACGAACCTACATCGCCGATTATTTATGATGAAAAACGACATTTTCATTGAATTGCGTCTTTATTTTTGTTGTTGTTGTTGTTTGAGTGTGACTGACCATTGGTCGCGTTGTGTGATTCTTGACAATTCGTCGCACGCAATGCGAATAATCCACCCAATACGTGTCATGGATTTTATACTAGGCATATTCTAATTGGATCACAATGGCCACTTTATATAGATAGTGTGTGCGCGGTTTTTATTTTCACCAAATTCTTTTCTGTTGTTCAATGTGTCGATCAACGGAATTCTTGTCGTGGGAATTTTTTTCCCAAGAAATTTCACCAATGAATGAGTGTATGTTTTTTTGTTCATTCAATGAATTAAATTGATTTTTAATGAGAGCGTTTCCAATAATAAATGCTAATAAATATTGTGTTTTTTTTTCTTTTTCTCTATTTGCAGCTCAACTTCTTGGTAACGAATGTGTATTGAATGATCAGTGTTCCATGAAAGTGGCCAATAGTGCTTGTATCGAAGGCATTTGTCACTGCGAGGATGGCTTCCTACCGTTTCGAAAACACACTTGTTTGTCACGTAAGTAGTCAACAGTATGAATTTACCACTTTTTCTTTTTTTTATCTTTCTCTCTCTCTCTTACTTGGATCACATCATTGGTTTTCACATTCATTAGCAACGTGCGCCTTTATTACTGATTGGGTGTTTATAAATAAATGTCATTTTTTTTTTGTAGTTGTTGTTGTTGTTGTTTTTGATTCAAGAGTGGTGACAATAAGTATGCATGATTTTTTTTTCTCAGTTCGAGTGAGTGAGTTGTGTGACGTCTTCACGTACGAATCACTTGAGGCGAGTCTTTGCATAGAAATCTCATCGAATTCGAAGAAACGAAAAAGAAACAGCGTTGAAACTGATGTATGTATGTGTATGGTTAAAGGTGCTAATAAATGGTGTTGCCTTTATCAAACCAGCAGTGTTGATTAATGTCTCCCTCCCATTAAAAAGTTATTTAAATAATTCTTGGTAATTAAAAATGGGTCATGCATTACTTTCTTATCGAACCGCACCGACCAAATATACTATGAAAGAGCACACACAAACACACACAATGTGAAAAAAATACAAGAAGAGATAGAGAACAAGAGAAATATCCACAAGACACATGGAATGATTGACAACACGATGAATGCTGATGTGTCGGGGCATTCCCCACGTTCTTCATCACATACTTATGCGCGTTTTGTGGACGCACTGAATAAATAGACTGTGAATGAGTGACAATAATCGACACTAGTTCATCTTTGTTATCTCCATTGAGTTTGTGTGATGTAAGTTACCCATATGAATCACGCGATATCGCATATTCAATTGGCACGATTTATCGACAAACAGAGAAGAATAGAGAAAAATACGACGCAGAAACGTCATATCCAAATCCACATATCTCTAGCGTGCACTCATCTAATTACACAACCCATCATGTGTACAATTTGAAATGAAGACGTTCAACATACTCGGTCAATTCGATTCATTCATAAAAAAAAATCGATTAGATTGAAATTGACCGCAGAAAACAACGATGGTTTTTATTTTCTGGCTATTTTCCCCTCGTTTTTCTTGTGCTACATCTCCTGTGGAGAGAGACTCTTCTCTAAATTGTCGGAATTTAATCGGATAACAAATGATGGAATCACTTTAAGCACAAAAACACACACACACACACACAAAAAGTGCTTTAAAAAAGAAGCAAAAGAGATGAAATGCCTCCGAAAAATGATGATACTCATTTTAGCCTAAAAAAACAACTCTTTAGTGACAGAAGAAACAAAAACATAACGAGAAAAAAATACACACACGATATGTCTATAATTTGCCCGTTTGCTATAGGCTATACCACAAAATCACGTATCGTTATAAATTATAGATGTTTAATGAAATGATTGTGGCTAATTAAAAAAGAAAGAAAGAGAAATGAAAGAGGCTGACATTGGCTTGAGGTGGTGCTTGATTTGCGTGGTGCGATCTTTAGAATGTCGTTTGTTGTGTTTGGATCATAATCTGTATGTGTCTTTTAGCATCTACAGATTTGTTCTTGATTTTATTTTCTTCACGTATGCATTTTTTTTTCTAGCCGCCTGCATACACACATGCATCGTTCACGTAAACAATCCTGAATGCGATTGATAACTGGTTGTGTGGCTTACAAACGAGAATCCAAAACAATTATGCTCGGTATTTCTGATTTCATCTCTCAATTACCGTCACATTCAAATGCGTGTGTAATTGAAGTGCTTAATTTCCACAATCCGATATCGATCGAACGAATATGTGTGTGTATGTGATGTGTGCGATGTGTGTATGTGTCCATTGCATATTTGTCCGTTTCTATGATGTCTATCGTCACGGATGCATCTGAAGCGATAAGTAAGTCATTGTTGTTTGTCATCGTCAGCAACAGTGTCGAGAGAGTCACACAACAACAATTACATTCATACACATGGTACCGTGATCGTGTCCAACTAGTCGAACGATAGATAAAAAGATAGAAGCTGGTTTTTTTTTAATTTATCAAATGCCGACGACGATGGTGAGGATGTTTTTCTCTCCGATGGAGTTCTATTGTCGTTCAGAAACATGTATAGACGAGAGAGTGTATGTGCGTGCAAGCGTTCGTTCGCTCGCTCACATACAATGTTATCTTGAGAATAACAGTTGTCTTCGTCATGTCTCAACTAATGCGCCTGCAGAGTGCTCATCGCAACATTTTTATTCTCATTATACTACTTGCAAATGTAAACCCGTTTTGTTTTAATATTTCCATATACTCAGAGAGCCACTCAGCCATCTAACAACAGCCACAACAACAGAAATGAGAGAAAAATAAAGGGGAAAATGGTTGAATTGCAATAAGCACTTGACATGCATTGGAGTCAAATGCAAGAATCAAGAACAAACACACACATGTGAAATTATAGCACCGATTTCAGGCGGTAAAGAAAACCAAAACTCTGAGCATCACCCAGCAGTGTGGCAATCGTCATTTTATTTTACTCCATCTTCTTCTTCATTTCAAAACGGTTACCTCTCCGATTTGTCTTAATTCATATTTGCCCGATATTAAATGAGAAAGTGCATTGCATCAATCGCAATAACGGTACGCAACGTATATATGTAATCGGTAGAATAGCAACTTTACTTAGCACATACGTTCTTCGTCAACGAACAACAACCACAACTTTATTCCATTTGCTACGCATTTCGTGGAATTTATTAAACACATTTTCATATGACGACGATTTTTTTTTTTAAAATGGGTTTACCGTTTTTCCATCGTCGTTTTGAACATCACATGCGAGAGACACAAAGACAAATGCTACGTGTTTTTTTCGGCACAAAACGCGAGCGCGTATTGCAAATGACTTGGGAAATTAAGCGATTTAAATGCGTTTTCATTGTGTTTTCTCGAGTTCAAATGTTGATTCATCTCCTGTTTCTTTGATGAAAGAAAACTGACAATCATTGAATCATTCTGCATTCCAAATGACAATTTCAAAATGAATATACAAGAAAAGAATTCATTTGCCACTGATTTTATCTGATGTGATCTCATAACGTAAAACTAACGGATAAGATTACCGAATAATACTGGGAACTTTTGATTTCAATTGATCATTAAGAGAAAACGCGGCAGAGAGAGAGAGAGAGAGAGAGAGAGAGAGAGAGAGAGAAACATATTTAGCATCTTAATGTTAATTTGATTATATTGCAAAACCGTAATTTAGCCGCGAGCCACACATCAAATGGCCGCTGCGCATGCATGCACGATATTGATCAATTTATGATTGAATTCTTAGTGTGTGTCTGATAAATATACTGAGATAGGTATTTTGTTGCTATTGTTTTTGTCGCGCTTTTAAATAGTTCATTTACCAGCCAAAATCAATGATTGAAGCGATTTGTTTTTTTTTTCATAAACGAACGACCGAGACACGAACATCACCGTTATACCGGAAAGATTGCGTGATCGATTGCTCAGTCAATATATAATACACACACACACACACACATATAAACACGTATTAAAGCGTATCTCGCGCGGGTCTCAATTACACTTGGTTTTCATGCTGATGTTGTTGTATTTACGTCATTTTACCTAATGAAATTTCATTTTGAAAATTAGATTGCTTGAAAATCAGCGTTCGAGATCGAGAGTTTGTGAACACGAGAAAAATGTGAACCATGAATAATAACAATCTCAAGCGGTATAATTACATTTCAGTGGGCAATTTTTGGAATGAAAGGCGCGGGAAAATTCCACGGCTAATTGAAATTGGATGTCAAAAATGAAATGTTGACCAAGAAAACGAGAGAAAAATAGAAAAAAAAATCAAACGAACTAATCTATGAACAAATAAATCGAATAATGGTTGAAATCCCTTCATCTTGTCACTTTAAACTAGCCGTGTTTTGTTATTCTCTCGAATTCGTCGAAAAATTTCATTTATCATGTGGGAAAGTATGACATTTGAAACGAAAGTGAACGAAGGCACGTCAAACAGCTACAAACAGCACCAGCACAAATTGTACGGTTGGTCCTCATGACCAAGATCGATCCCATTGAATGGTTGACGTGCGCGCATAGCTGTAATCGAACGGCATCAGAGTACAATCTCTAGGCCCACGCCGAGTTAAAACAAAAACTTGACCTGATTTTCAATGGGTCTTTTGTTGTTGTTTTCGCTGTCATCATCGTCGGGCAAATGAATCCCAAACAGAGAGTGAAAGAGAGAGGGAGACGACCACCGATAGTTTGGATGGTTTGATTTTTCAAAAGGAAAAAGTTCCACTGCCACATTTTTTGCTGTTGTTTTTTTTTCAGTTCGGTTCGAATAAATAAATCTATTCGTTAAGCGTACGATCTTTTGGTGTATCATTAATCGCATTGACATTTACTCTCTAGGTAACGGTGGCGGCGACGGTGATGACGGCATAGAGATGTGTCAGTGGAAAGTGATATGTGCTACTGTTATTGCTGTTGTTGTTGTTGTTGTTGTTGTTGTTTTTGCTGCCACATGAAATAGAAAGAAAAAAACAGAGGAAGAGAGAGAACAATATCTATTAGACTCACATAGCTGGTGGTTCATCTGAACGGGTTTTGTGGTCGGCTTTTGTTACGATGTATCATTGCCAAGGTCTGAATGTAGTCAGGCCTGTTTGCAACAATGCAAACGGCCCCAAAAACAATACCATGCCATTAGTCTCTTGGTCGCCGCCGCTGTGCAAATGGAACTCGCACGATGAAATCACATGAAACCATCAAGTACACATCGTGATGTGCAAAAGATATGTAGCAAAAAAATGAGCTTATCCACTTGGAAAAACAATGCCGAAGCACACAGAATTTCGATAAATTCGTGGTGCGCGCGCTCCCGCACTTACGCTCACTCATTTGCTCTCACACTGTTATTTTCATTTTAATCCGCGCTCGCACAACATCGGTCAAGGCGGATCAAAAAGCTTCTCGATCACAAGCGCGCGCGCACCTCCGTTCGAAACTTGTATTTTGTTTGTGCATGTGCCGACCACATATTTGCAAGTGCTGTCATTTCACTCTACAATGTAATGATTTAATTTCTTTTGGGCCATTCATTGAAATCCGTTACCCATCGTCAACATTTTTTTCTCTTTATTTACTTATGCGGTGTGATCTCTTTCTGATTATTTTCTGTTTCTCTTTCGTTATTCTGTTTTTTTTTTCCTAACTCGCACAGTCAAATCTTTCCATGTGCCCGCGTTTTCAATCCGTTTTTTCTTCTTTCTTCTTCTTTCATTTGCATAGCGTTTTGTTATTTTCCGTTGGTCCAATTGCGATGAGCGCGCGAGAACGAAAAATTCCATTGAAAATTGCACTGGACTTGCGAGCGCTTCATTTTCGCTGTTGCCGGAATTTGGATAGGCTTGACCTTTCTCTCTCTATCTCTGTCTCTGTCTCTCTCTCTCTTTCTCTCATATGTTTCCTCGTCAAATCACACAAACTTTAACCTTTGCAATGAAATAGACACTGAAGAAAAAACAACACAGCCAAATATACTCGCGTACACTTTACACGCACGTAGAACTACAACAACAAAGAATAAATCCACCGAATAAATGAAAGTTTCAGAGTCTGAAACACGTTTTATTTTCTGTGCTTCTGTTCATTTGTTTAGACGAGTTCATAAACTTTTTTTTAGTTAATTTGTGTTTTGTCCCGGCCGTTGCGCGTTGCTATTTGGTCATTTAATGCTATCGTTTTTTTATTATATGTACGACAGGAGGTATAATGAACAGGCAGGTGTGAAACAAGATACGCACACCATTGTTCATTCTCTTTATTAATTGTTAGATTTTAATTTGATGGTGATATCATTTTCGTTTTGCTACCGTATATGCCGCGGCCAATTTCATATTTTCATTTTCTTTTGAAAGTGAATCCATCGCAGCAGCAACAACAAACTGAAAGACAGAGAAGAAGAAGAGGCAAAAACGGCGTGTATGCTCGTCGCACGAGACTCATGTAGAGTTTTTTTTGTGGCTAAACTTAACCGAAAAGTTGGAAACATTTCCTCCAATTTACGACGTGAAAACTAGAAGAAAACAGATGAGTGATTTGAGTGCAAAACGGCGACAATTTCATTGTTGAAAAGTGGTTGTGAATGATAAAATGTTTGCCAAACAATGGAAATTCTCGAAATTTCTTCATAACTTTTGCACAAATTTCCATTTTTCTTTTTCACGTAAAAATGCGCTGGTCTGACAAAGTTTTTCACACGTTTCTTTTCGTTGTGTTGGTCTCCTTGTGTTTTTTATCTACAGATTCCCCCTGCACTTTTTTCATTCTGCATTCAATTACTACTATAAATCTCCGAGTTCGAAATCGCCAACGAATGAAAAAACCTATTCAGCCTCACAATTTCAAATGAAATCGCCGTCAATAAATGGCCCGCATTAAAAAAAAATGTCACACCATAGAATCTCTGCAGCGGAATCATGGTTTGTGGCTTAACGTGTTCGAAATTTATTGCCGCATTCGAATGCACACACACACACACATGAACAACAACAACAACAACAAAATAGACGAGCAGAACCAAAATCGCGCACGATCCGTTATGCGTTTGTCGATGCAGTTGAGCAGAGAGCAGCATGGTTGCAATATTTAAAAGAACAAAACAAAAAGTAAAACGAATTAAAAACTCTGGAAATATCGGTTAAACTGAATCTATTAAATCAGCATTGGATTCATTCTCGTGATGGAAGAAAAAAGAAATACTTCAAACGTTTATACAATGTTTCGATCGAAGCGGAACAGTGTGTTGTGGCATTGTGCAGAAGACGAGAGCAAAAAGAGGGAAATAGCAACAGCAACTGCAGCAACAACAGAAAAAATGGGCAAAAAAATTATAATCAATTACCGGTATGTGTGTGTGTGCCAATCATAAGAAGATATGTACAGCTGTAATCGGATTTATTCAGAAATATTTCCTCGGCATTAGCATTGATCTTGGGCTTTTATGTCCATTTCGGCCGGTTGCATCTGCTCGACCATACACACTCGGAGCTCGGTGTTGTGAGATTGGTTCAATGCATACAGTCATAATCATATCACCCGTACGTGTAATAAACATAGAGATGCTGGTCGGCTGGCTGACTGGCTGGCTGTCCAACATACGTGCTTTGCTGAATAAACGTGCGCGCTCGCGCCGCTAAATGACCGACATTAACTTACTTTTGATTGGACTCATGTAAATCCATTATTTTAACGTTCATTTTTCTTGTGTGTTTGGTCGGCCGCTCGCTCGCTCGCTCGCTCCTTCTATCCAATTCCGATAGATATTCGTTTTGTTTTATTGCTTGAAAGATTTCAAATCAATTTCATTCTAATTGAGTGCGGAATCTGCTAGCCGCAAGATTTGCAGAAATTTATTGTTTGAATGCCACTTTTCTTCATCTGTTCATTTGTTTCACGCTATGTTTCACTCATGGTGTACAATGTACACTGTACAGATTACTACCGCCGTCGCCTTCGTCGTCGATTGTGGTACAGACCGACTGAACCTATTGAACAGAAAACCGATTTTTGATAATTTCAAACAAAACTGGTCGTATGAATGATTTTCCATCGAGATCCATTGATTAATTTATTAGCAAAGAGAACAGTTGATCGCCAATGACTAGAAACACAGTGACGTCATACAGCGAAAAATATAGCATAAGAAAAAGTAGCCGGCCACTACTTCTTCGAACGTACTACAATGGAAAAGAGAGGCAAAGAAAACGTTTCGTTTATGCGGTGCTCAATTATTATCATCATTTTCTTCTTCACCTATTGCTCTGCTGATGGTGCTGCTGCTGTTGCTGTCATGTCTTTTACCATGCTTATTTGCCGGCTGCTAGCAATAGTGATTCTCTTTCCCGCGCTCTTTCTGCGCACACACTCAACACATTCAAGCCAATCGACGTTTGTTTTCTTCGGTTATATTTATTTAGCCATAAATCCATTACACCGATGATTGATGGAGAATTCAATTCATTCACAGAAATTGAATGCTATTATATAAAAATCTATGATCGCTTAATTGTGGTTTTGTTTTGGCCTAAATAACGTTTTTTAACACTCATGTGTTTGCCTCGCGCTCACAAAACCCGGCAAATTGGAATGTCTATTGACCCAAATTGAATTTAGTCATTTCGCGTGTGCGTGGATTCTTGTCGTCGTTGTTGTTTCTTTTGGCTGCTTCAGGAGCTTGCGACCGCAAATATGAGTGTGTGTGTTTTTTTTTGACGAATTTCGGAAATTCATAAAAGTCACAATCAACATTAAATTGATGGAATGGATGAGTGTTTAATGAATTCGATCGTGAGCACAATACGACATGATTGGCGCTTGTCACTGTTTAATCATGCCAGTCGCGCGTACCAACAACTTCAAACTGAATTTCAAATGAGAGATTTCCCCTTTTCGACGAAGTAGAAAAAAAAAACACCTCTTTTATATTGTAAATGTAATTTGATAGTTTTTTTCCACTTTAAAGAACTAATTCCAATTATTTCGAAAAACCAACAGAAGAAGAAAAAAAACATATAGCGCAACCATTTTGATGACACCAAACCATAAGCGAGAACTTTTTTTTCTCCAAATTTAGTCTTGCCGAATTTGTGCAAAATTTATTAATCTTTTTCGGTTTTTGTGTTTATTCTCCTTGCAGCCACTCGACCTGGAACCGTGTGCTACAGCAACAAACAGTGCGAAATGTTCAATTCACTCAGTCATTGTGACTTTCTAATTCCGAATTTGTTTGGACGATGTCAATGTACGCCCCCAAGTCAACAATATGGTTCGACATGTGTCAGCGAACTGGACACAACCACTGATGCTGCTGCTGAGGCGGCATCGAACGATTCCGATGAAATCGTATTGGCCGAAACGGTGAACAGCGATGAAACCAGCGGACCAGAATCTGACAATGAAATTGGCGATAATGATGACGCCGATGATCATGACAATCATCAAGATTCAATTGTGTCGAGTACATCGACGTCATCATCGGTGGTACAAAGTGAAAGTGTTGCCGAAATTGGTAGTACAACCGTGAAACAACCTGAATTGGCACCACCTGACGTTGCATCAATGACACTTGGCTCAACGAACGATGAAAGTGTTTCAGATGAAACGCAATCCAATGAATCACAACCAAACGAATCACAATCAAACAATGAACAGCAGCCAAATGAAGACGAAATGACTCATGATCAAATAGAAACAGCAACTGAACAGGTGCAACAAGAGCCAGTGACAATGTTCGAAGTGGGCACATTGTTGCCGGAAAAGCAATCCGAATCAATAAGTGAATCCGTTGCGACGACCAGCTCATCGATCTTCTATGATGAGGTGTATGAAGATAGTGAAACTGAAACCGTGCCCGATTCCACCGATAAACATTTTATACTGTTAAGTTCATCCGGTGCCACCGCTATTCCGTCGGATTTATTGTCGGTCAATGAGGAGAGTGAATCGCATGGCAGTGAATTTGTACAAACTTTGATGCCACCTCATTCGAATATGGCACCCAATAAACACAAACCAAGCAACTTATTCCCGTTGAATGCTGCTGCCATGGATATGAATGCCCAAGCAGCAATTGCACCGCAGCCACAAGACGCAATGAAAATGGATACCGAAGCACCGATTGTAGCCGAAACGACAGCAAATCCGCTGCTTCAAATGTTTGACATTGATATTAGTAAAACAACGGTGAAGCCAAACACTCAGCTCACAAATGCCGATGCAATTGCCGCTTTAGTCTATGAAATTGTCGAAAATGTTGCATCGAACATGAATTCAAATCAGAAACCAAATGCCACACCAGTTGCTAATGAGTCACAAGTCAGTGCATTCCAACAGAATAATGAAAATGCCGAAATTTTGGATGCAATTTTATCCAGTCATCCTGTGTATCATACAACCGAAACGACTGTGGTAAAGGACGAATCACAGCCCAGTGCTGTAAATGTGGTAAATGAAATGGCCGAAACGGAGCCAGTCCCAATTGATGAAGTGCAGTCGACAACCAGCAATCAAGAATTGGATTCAGCGCCAGCATTCAATGACAAGAATGAAAATGTTGAAGAAAACTTCCAAACGGATGAAAGTCAAAACATCGCACAAACAACAACCGAAGTCAAAATCGAAAGCGCCACCGAAGCAACGGTGTATGAAGACCAAACGCAAGTATCACAAGTGACAGTCATTCGAACCGAAGAAGAAACGACATTGATTGATGACATGAAAATCCATCATTTCGAAGAGCAAACGACAGCCTTGAATGAACCATTGGGAAATGAGCAAGAGGCCACCACTCAAAGTTTTACTCAAATGCAAGAAACGACTCTGTACGAAAATGGATTGACGACCGAAAAACCGACCAAAAACTATATTCAGAGTGACACAAAGGAAGATGCTGTGCATGAGGAAGCACCCGAAATTGTAACCGAAAGTGAAACAGTTTACAGCACACTGGCGCCAACGACAAGCGCACCAGACGAGCAAAGTACACAATTGGCCGATTTTCGAACGGAAGCCGTCAGTCAAACCACAGAAGTGCAAGAGAGAGAAACAACAACAAAGTCCGCAGAATCAATGAAATCGGAAGAACCGGTGAAAGAGTCAATTGTAGCACAAATGATGCCAATCCCATTGGCTTTGACTCACATCGCACCAGCTTTGACATCAAACACTGAAAGACGTACCGTGTCAGTGTCGCCCAGCGCATATAATAACAAGTCGGCTAGTTTGAAACATCAAGGTGAGTCGAAAAAATAACAAACAAACACACATATCAAACATCTATCAAAATATGCCGCGAAATTAAAATTTAAATGGAATTTTTGCTTGTTCCATAGAAATCCGTACTCGAGTCGATTTAGGCGGTGGAGCGATTTCGTTGGGTTTGAGCTGTGAAATTGATCGACAATGCCAGTTAGCCGATCCAAATACGTACTGTAACGAGGCAAAACGATGTGATTGTGCCCATCAAAATGAAATCATTAATGCATGCCGAGCAGAAAACTCCGGATGTCCACAAAACACTTTCCAATGTCGATCAACTGGTCACTGCATCAGCTGGTATTTCGTTTGCGATCGTAAAATGGACTGCGATGATGGATCCGATGAAGAGTGCATGGATAGTTCCAAGTGTCCGGCCGAAGCATTTGAGTGCAAACAAAGCGGAATTTGCGTATCGAGAGCAGCCGTCTGTGATGGCAAAAAGCAATGTCCCCATGGGGAAGATGAAGCCGGCTGTAGTTTGGCTAAAGCTGGAAGGTAAAAAGCAATTGGATTCTGTTTGACATGATTTTTAGTATGTGTTAATTCAATTTTTGGTTCATTCGTTGTTGTGACTCCAAATTGGGCGTTTTTCATGTTCATTTTTTTTGGATTTCTTCATTTTATCTGATTCATTAATTGAATTGTTCGAAGAAATAATCAAACTTCATTGTTTCTAATCAATTTGTTTCCAACTTTTAGCTGCCCTTCTGGTAGTTTCCAATGCAAAAGTGGCGAATGTCTACCGGAATATGAATTCTGTAATTCTCGCATACGTTGTGCGGATGGATCTGATGAACTGTCACACTTATGCAACTCCGAACGAGTACCAAGCCTTTTCCAGCGGCTGTACACACAGGCACGGTCGAGAAGTAGTTTCTACTGTCCATTCCAGTGCGGCAATGGCCGATGTCGTTCAACTGCCATCGTATGTTCTGGTCGAGATGGATGCGGTGACAACAGTGACGAAAATAAATGTAGCGTATGCCGTAAGTATCGCTCAAAAGCGGATTATTTTCGCTATCTCAATTGAGAGGCTCTTTCACTTGATTAAAAATTTAATTGATGTTTTATTTCGTATTTGCTTCACAGGTTGTCCAGCTCCAGTCATATGAACATAGCAATGGAGATGGAATGGAGAAAGACACACATCACTATTATCATTTACAAAATGAATCCATTTTTCAAGCAAAATATTCAGTATTCCTTTTGTTTTGTTTTTTTTTTTTAATTTCTTCTCTGCTTTCCAAACACATTTTTACAAAACTATTCTAATGATGATAAACAAAGAACGACAAAAAAAATGGTTAACCAAAACATACAAGCACATAAAAAACAACAACCATGATTTTATATGCAGATCAATTTCAAGTCAAGAGACTAGCAAAATTAAAATCAATTGTCAACGAGTTTTATTTTTTATTATAGTATTTCGGAATCATGTGAATAGAAAATGCATAAAAAATCATCATCCGAATCAAAATGTTGCATTCTACAGAAGAAGAAGAAGAAAAGAGTAGCAAATGGAACAAATGTAAGACAATGTCTAAATATTAAACAAAAACACGATAATGTGTCTTTAAACAACATCAACAGAAAAACAACACACAATACCCGTATTGCTTAGCATTTAAGGCAAATTAGTTTAATATTTGATATGCATTCTTAAGATCGTGATACCTTCTTAGGAATGCGGCCATCATTTTTTTTTATAGAGAAAATATTTTTTCTATTTGTTTGCTCTTTTTTACTACAGAATATTGTAAATATTGTTTATATTATTAGTTAATTTATGTCGTAAAAAAATCAAAATAATTCGCAAATTGAAATGATAAAAAAATAAAGAATTAGTGATTTAAGTTTTACATAAACAAAATGGAGTTTATTTAATATGATCTGAATGAATTGTGTGGATCACAAGGTCGTCGTTGTCGTCATTGTGATTCAAATTCATCGTTGGCCCCATCATCTATACACCACTTTAGACTCCAATATGACTTGGACTTACCTTTCTTGAAGACCAATTAATGCTAATGCGATGCAGCGAGGCTACCCGGGTGAACGCGATAGGCGTTGATGAAAGCCTACAGTCGTTCGATGAGGATTCCATAATTTGTATTTACATTTTAAATACCGAATGCCTAAGCTTTCATTGCTATTCTCACTTCTTTCGTCCATTCGTAGCAATGAACGCCTAGGCGTTCGGTATTTAAAATGTACATACAAATTATGGAAGCCTCATCGAACGACTGTAGGCTTTCATCAACGCCTATCGCGTTCACCTGGGTAATGAAAGTATTACTTGGCGAAAATTTGATTTTGTCTCCTAAAGAAACACTTACTCGGACGCTGAATTTCCTAAAAAAAATTATAGCTTACAATTTTTTTGAAGAGGAGCACTTTGCTTTTTCTCTTGCACTTCAAAGAGAAAAGAGGAAAACAAATGCGTCAAATATTTATATTTTGTTTCAGAAATCATTTGTATCAATTCTTTATTTTTCAAACGTTCATCATTATCATCATCAAATCCATCCATTTTTAGGTGAAATGAAATTAACAACAACAAAATAAAAAATATTCACATTTCAGTTCGTTTTGAGATTCCTGAAAACAGAAATCTAACTGCTCATCGTCTCACATTATTTAGATAGATAAATATTTGTCTAAAATAAAATTATGTGAATTCAAAAGAATTTGCTTCATTCATTTGTTATTAATTTTTTTCTCTCGCACCAATTTGATTGGCTACAGTACATACAGTTTCATCTTGTTTTTGTTTGTTTTGTTATACAATTAGCACACATCAATGCATTTTTGAAATGAAATATATTAAAGTCACAGATTTGTCAGTTAATTAGTTTACATTATATTCTTTACTCGAATTGCTTTACAATTTTACTCTACAGCGCGCTGCTATCGCATCACCCTAAATCTACAGTTTATCTTTTAAGCACGGTGTGTGTGCCTGTGCCCCCTCTATCTTCAGTTTTTGTTAACACATTTAATAAAATATTGGCGTTTGTATTTACTCATGTTTTGTTTTTGTTTTACTATCAATGGTTTTAATATTACGTTCTCGTTCTCTGTCTAGAAAATACAAGTTTCAATCGGATATATAATATAATAGTATATATAATATTGTATAATAGAGTCTAGGAATTTGTCATAGTTCGACTGGCCAATGGACTTTTCGATTATTTACGATCCATTTAGTTATTGTAAAAGTTGTTTTTTTTTTCTTTTATTTTTGTTTGTTGTTTTGTTTTTAGGTTGAGAAAAAAAAAATTGTTAACAGCTTCATTTGACTTTTCTACAGTTTATGTTCGATTTGGAATCGCACAAAAAGGAATTTAGTTTTTTTTCTGTTTGTTTTTTTTTTTCTATTCAAAATTGTAGTTGGTTATTAACCTTTTCGATTTTTTGGGTTGCTGCTGCCGGTGCAATAGCAATATTTACGGAGGTAATCAATTTTAATGCAATTACCTTGGCTACCGTAGCTGTCTAATCGGCTTACCGAACCGGTCAGTTCGAATTCATGGATTTCGGGACGATGACGAACGGTCGATTCAAACCAACCATCACTCGGTGACACCTCAAACTTAAGCAAATAATCATCGTAATGATCGCCTCCATCGCGATACTCGGCTTTGCGTACATCCGACACTTTTTTAACTTTCAATTCGGCACACAGCGGATGCTTACGATCATCATGAGTGTAATTTTTGAGATTTCGATTTATACCATCTAATACGAATTTCACAGCATTTTTGACAATTTTATCATTTTTATCGTGCCATCGGTACGGTGCGCACGTACACCAATGAGCAGCGATTGAGGTCTCTTCGCACGAACGATTCCATGGAATTTCGGTGAATAAACTTTGGCAATTCAGGCAACTGATTGCCGGTGCATACACTTGTTCCGGATTCGATAGTTGTAGCACGTGTTTTAGTGTCATATGCAAATCATATGGATTGGTCAAACGATTGCGATTGATTTTTAGCGCATGCACAATTTCGGGATGTTCGTTGCGAAACCATTCGGGCAACCAAATGAAAATGAATGGCAAACGTTCTTCAAGCCATCCAGTGATTAGGTGACGAATCGGACCAAAACGAAGCCCATGATCACTGAAGAAAACAACCATCGATTCGTTGAGAATGCCTCGCATTTCCATCGTATCCAAATAACTGCGCATTTTATTATCCATCGACGATGGATCACTAATATCATTATGGCTAAATGTGTTCGTCCAATACAGACCAAACGATGCATCATTTTTGTAATGCGTCGAAAAATCCATCGCAAAATCGTAAATGTGATCGGCCGAATGTTTATTGCCCAAACAAAAGGTCAACGAATGCTTTTTCTTAATGGGTAAATGCTTTTCCGCCGCAAGCATATATGGACGTAAGTAGTAATCCGTAGGTGGTTTTACAAATCCACGTTTGTTATAATTGAACGAACTGATCGAAGCTTCGTCTTCACCGTATGACGTCACATAGCCACTCTCGCGGAAATCCTTCCAGATGAACGGACATGCATCTAGTTTGCCAACTTGAACCGGCTCACATTCACCGTACGCCAATGTACGATTGAATCCCGTTAGAATGGCCATCAGATTTGGAAAGGTGTTGTCATCAATCTACAATTTAAATAGGGTATAACAAAAGTTTTTTTTTCTTCTCTTCACATTTTCCAAACATTTTTTTCTCTTCGATGAAGAAAAATTAAAAATGAACTTAATTTAATCGAAACATTCAAACTAACTTTTTTCATTCAACTCAATATCTCTCTCTCCCTCGTTAAAATGCAACTTTTCTCCGCATAATTGATTGAAAAAATCGGCAACGCAAAAAAAAATAACCGTCAAAAACCGTTGAATTCAAGTGAGAACTTACCTTGTTGTATCCTTGCAGTTCAAACCAACCGCTGTCATAGAGATGCTGTGCGGTTTTTGGCATTGCCCGAATTAAATTCAATCGTGACACACTGTCTATCGACAGCATAAGCACACTCAACGGTCGATTGTTCTTGGACTTCTCTTTGAATTCGTTGAGACGTTGACGAATTTTCGGCCGATCACGTATGATTGCGTGCGTATTTTTGTAAACCGTTTTGCCCATCGATTCACATTTGACAAAAATAAACTCAATATTGGCCGGTAGTACAAATGATGATGTGAATTTTTTGCACGTTGAAAGTCTAAAATTTGTGACCAGAAAAAAAAAATTTGAATATTTGTTCCACGAATAAGAAATCAACGCAATTTGAGGCCTACTTGAATTGCTCATCGGCTTTCTTCCCGCTTCCAGCCCGTGTGATTTCGCTGTAACAGCATGTCGATTTCACAAATGATGAATACCATTTTGGTTTAAAATCATAAATTAGCATCGCCTCTGAAGTAGTCCAATTCATTTCGATGCGAGTTACGGCTTCTGTTATTGAACACGCTTCATATTTCTCTGAAAAGCATAACAATAGGTACATAAATCCGCATTTATTGTCGTTGTTGTGCTTGGAAATTCATCGAAAATCGTTGAAGTGATGTGATTAAGTGTGGTTTTTACCTCTTCGAAAAAGCTTCATGACATCGGCAGCCAGTGGATTCGTGTTTGGTATTTGACAACTTGGCGAAAATACTAAAAATCCATCCCTAACTGTTTGATTGAGCGGTGGGGATGATACAGTCAACGGCGATGATGATGACGATGAAGACGACGACGACGATGGTGATGATAATGATGACGCGTTGAATCGTATTGGAGAATAATGCATTGATATGTTCGTTTGCGAATGTAATTCACGCGTTTTTGTTGAAACAATAAACGGTATCACATTTTGGTGTAAATCATCAGCGGAAACTGTGTTTTTAAATTTGGCTCATCAATTTTGATGTTGAAATCTGATTTTTGTTTTCTTTGTTATTTTCAAAGTTTCTTAACTACTTTTCAACAAATCCACCAATTTATTTCTAATCAATCAAATAAAATTCAACGAAGAACAATAGCGACAATTTGAATGAAGTGGATGCACAATCAATCAGATCTTGCAGTTGAGATAGTATGATTTGCAAATGGGTTTTTGAATGATATTGTCTCTGATTTCGCAGAACATGATTACAACAGAGAGAAAAAATGTACCAAAATACTAAAATGCCATGAAATCTTTGAAAGCGAAGCCATTAACCAAAGCCAGCATATTTTGTTAAAATTTGTCGCTATTGTTCATACATAGTCAATTTAATCTACTTTCAAAACAAAAGGATATCCGAAACGGCTTTGAAATCTTGAGTCCACAGTAAGTGGGTCAAAAAATCATGAATTGAGGTATAGTCTAATGGAATTGGGTTTTATGATTGTGTGCGCGCGCGTGTGTGTATGTTTTTTGTTGTCGTGCAATCAAACTCTTGAGCTCTTCTTCAATTTTGTCTTGTCGATTTTTCGATTGAAATAGCTCCATATATTCCCATTTGCTATGATCCAATATATTGATCTCTATGTGTCGCATTGCATGTTCAATGCATAATTTATTTGCTCAATATGCTATGATTTGAACAGGCAGCAGCAGCAGCAGCAGCAACAGCACATTGTATCGATATGGTGAATTATTTACCACACGCATGAGATACAACCATGCGATATATGTGAATATGTATATGAACGATGACAAGGTGAGAGAGTCCAATGAGAACATATAGTAAGTAGATCATGAAATTTAATTGCTGAACATATTGGAACAATATACCGGTCTAAATGATATGTAATTTGGGAAGAAGGAACAACAGAATAAAAAAAAAACGAACGAACACTCAAGCAAGCAAATTCGGTACACACATCGTGTAATTATCTTCTAAATGAAATTTGTTCATTTTAAGTGCGGCGCTTTGATATTACATGTTAATGACCGGCACATTAATTAGGTGCTAACATATCAATTTTGGATATCGAATGACGCTCCATTAGATCGGTGGTAAATGACCGTTTTAATACGCGGAAAAATTATTAAAGAAGCTACATGCATTTTTTGGAAATGAACTTTTATCGGGAAACATTTGAATACACAATGCATAAGCAAATGATAACCAGCCACATGAATCGAACAATTTTACACGAATTACCCATTTGAAACGAGTTGATAATGTGATGTTGCGTTGGCCGCAATGACTCATAAACAATGCCTATCAAAGCAAATGAATCTATGATAAAACGATAAATCAATCCATAAAATGACATCATTCCAATAGATCTAATACGCAATAGATGAGCAGATTTGTGGCTAAAATGGCTAAACGAATTGCTAACGGGGCGAGAAAAAAAAGAGAGTCGAAACAAGTGCAGTGTATTGTACCTTTTGGTCCGAGTAAATTGGTGTCCACAGGTGGCACATCGACAATGATTTGTGGCGACGGTTTATCAACGTTTAAATTCATTGACACACAAAAGTACACCACACTGAGAATGGAAATGGTTAAAATGCCAATATTGATACGACTCCATTTGTCACGATGCGACCGACGATATTCGATGCGATTGAGTTTCGTAGCGAATTTGGATAGTACACGATTCTCATTGTCGCTGTTTGTTTGCTGGATGTTGACCGAATTTGGCAGCTTTATTGTTGTTGCTGGTGTTGTTGTTGTTGAGCATTTTTTGGGCGATGTCGATTGCAACAGCAATGGCTTAGTGGCACTCTCATCGTTGGCATCATCATTCTCGCTATCACTATGCACTATGCTCGTAAGACTCATCTTTCCGGATCATTTCTGTTCTACTTCTTCTGCGTTTGTTGTTTCGATTTTTCGCCTAATTTGGTTTTTTTTTTCTTCTGGTTTTTATTCGACAGCCCTATTTGTAGTATTTCGATAGCGACGTTTGATTGGCTTTGTTCATTTTTCGAACCGAAAGATGATGACCATGTCACACATTATTTTGCCGTTATCACACTGAAATGAAAATAGAAACAAAATGGGAAACAAATCAAATTAACACACTTTTCTTCCACAATTCCTCAATTCCATATGGTTGATTCTATTTTATAAGCTAATGGCATTGTTGTTGTTGTTTGCACAATTTTATGGAGGATGATCATATAGAAACATTAATGCCCACAAATTACGGTATACAGTTTGAAATAGAAGCATTATTTCAGCAGAGAAATTGCTTCGGTAGCGTCACAATGGCGACAAACATCCATTCCACACAGCGACAATGACGACGGCGACGACGACGACGACGACGATGACACAATAAATGAATGCAGAATGCAAAATACAATATGCTTGTAATTTACTCTGCAATAAAACTTAATTGAGTGCAGTGTCTCCTTATCGGCGCTTAGCTCAGAGAGGGAGAAAAAGATAAACACAATGTTTGCACAATTTATTACTCGAATCGAAAGGGGTGGAATAATAAATTATGCCTGTACTACACACACCAGCTATTTCGCTGCACTTCAATAGACATAATGAATGGCCGATTTCGGAAATTCCCATTAATTGCGACACAATAAATTCGTAACGGTATAAACCTGTGTGTGTGTGTGTATGTGGATGATTCATTGTACTGATAAATACTAGGGGAATATCACGCTTGAATTATTTCAAATATTTCAAAAAAAATCCAATTTATCTCTAAGAATCTGTCGTATGAAATATGGTGGATATTTGTGAATACGGCGGAATATTGTGGATTTTTGTGATTATGAATGATATTTAAATGTATTTATTCGGATTTAATGCAAAAAATCTCAAATATCTCCAAAATCCACAAAAATCTGATTCATTTATTCGAAAATATGTCATACAATTGATGTTTATTTCAAATATCTCAAATATCTCACAAGATTCAGGAGCGTGATATTCCCTTAGGATAAATATATTTATCAATGGTTGAAATTCATTGCAAATATAAGCATGCTTGTGAAATTCTGACTAGTGTGAAAGTGTCTAGGGCCGGTATTTTCGTCAGCCAACACAGTTTTTCACATTTATTATCAAGAAATATATCGAGATAAGATATTCTTGTGTACATACTTGAACTGTATACTCGATCCGAATTTTTTTACAATGTAATAAATTTTTTGTTGGACAGGTCAAGTGCTACAATGTTCATAATAATTCGTTATTCTTATAATTCCGCCAAAAACTTTAACAATACGGTTTTACGCAAATGGAATCATCAAAAAGAATACTCCATTACTCAAAATTTTAAAACTTCTAATCGATTTGAGTTAATCAAAGCTAGCAATTTCTAATATTTGGATCCGCATTTTTAATTTAAGTGCATTGAAAAAAGTGGTTTTCTTTGCATTTTTTTAGCTTGGTATTTCAAATTTTTCCAAATGCAATCTATATATGAATATATATAGCTCCACTATCTGGTATTTCAACAATTGTCTGTTGTAATTGAACCTGCATACACATTGATATGTTTTTCGTTCATTATTCATCCATTTCACGAATGCCATAGTGATAGGTGATAGAGAGAAAGAGACAAAGAGAAAGATAAAGAAAGAAAGTCGGAGTCTTGCATTCAATATGATTTTTATTTTGTGAAATATGAATATGCTGCTGCGTTTTGTCGCAAACACATTTAATTCCATTAGCATCTCGTATGCTGTGCATCGTTTTTCTTGCAAATTGTGCCATATTTACGTTTTCGTAGTGATGGACTTCAACTATAAACGCATGCGGAATGTGTATGTTTAATCATTTGAAGATGATATTTCATCCGTGTTGATGTCATTTGCTTGATGCAAATAGCTTCTTTTCATATCAAAAGTAATCTAATGACAGCGTTGGAATGTTTTTCTCCTCCATTGCTTTGTGATATAATAGCATTAGTATGCAAAAATATACTCATCATATAGAAAATATAATATTTGATGAGCCATTACAATCCTAACTAGCTACGCATATATATGCGTATTTCCTTTGACATTTTTTTTAAGTATAACGGATACAACAAAATTCATACGCATTTGTGATAAATCATCGCTATCACTTGTTCTGTTTGCAAATATGAATCCGTGGCAGTCGTATCAAAAAGTCAAAAGCCTACAAATTTTTTTGATTAATCGAATCATAGACTTGATCATTTGACATAGTTTTATCTTGCGGAAGTTCTTTCAAATGTTTCCGGTTGAAATGTTGGCGCCTTTTTGCATAACCACTAAATTGTTTCTGTTTCTTTTTTGTATTGTTTGGCCTCGAGGCTACTAACGAAACCGTTTATATTGTTCGGTCACGTCGATGATCACATCAATGAAAATAATCTTATGATTAGTGAAGAAACTAGCAAAATATTATTAATTATTAATCCAAAAATGATGATGTTTATTCAAAAAGTGTAAACATGACATTTTTTGTGGAAAACACAATAACTAGTCGGGCATTAGTATATTTATCAGTTATTTTCAGTGTTTATCACGATAAATCTATCTTCATTCGTGTATGGTTTTTTCTCTAATCTGGGGAAAAACAACCAAATTGACACGCGTGTCACAGATTTTAATTTGTAGTGGTTAAGTTGCTATGTAAAATGAAATGTATGGAAAGTTGACTAGGCGCACACCTGCATATATGCATTCGTATGCAGTAGTGTGCGCCTGGCCAAAATAAGCCGTTGCACACGTATGTCACACATTATGTGAGAAATTCCCCTAGATTATTGAAGTTGAATAAACCATTTTAGTCTTTATTTTACATTCCTACACTTCGTGTATTACTAAAAATTGTTTTTTCTATTTCTTTGACACTTACACACGCAACGAGGTTTATCACTGACCGATGAACGTCCTCATTGAAAATAGAAGTAAAAATTGATCCACACAGAACTGAAATGTCTACTATCATATTAAAATATATGTAATTTTTAACCCGGTTGATGGAATAATCCATCACAATTGTTTCACCATCGAATGGAAATGCTGTCAAATACCGGGGAAATAGTTTTTTTTTTCAAATATAGTGGGATAAAATTATGACATGAAGTAAGAACTTGTTCAACTCTAGCATTTTCAGTTTTTTTTATTAAATAATGAAGAGAACATGAGCACCGACTCATGTAAACCTGCACTCGCAATTCACAATGCTCACATCGAATTTATTCCAAGCTTATCAAGTCCACAATTTTATCATTCGTACTTTTTTTTCGTTCATTAATTCGTTCATTCACTTTGTAAAAAAGAAAAACTTTTTAATCCGGTAGCCATTCGATAGTTGAATAATACATTTGAAACCATTCCCAAATGGTAGCACAATGGTAGTAAAAGTCATTTGTTGACGTTCTATGAAAAATCATGAGAGAAAAACCCACTATTTTTCCATTTTCCAAAGGAAAAAAGCAGATGTTTGTTTGCAAGAAAGAACTAGAAAAAATGGACGGCTCAAACCAAAATGTACATCTTATGTGGAACAAAGTCGCATTTGAATACAAGTTTTGCTTTCATTTCCAACAAACATCTCTCTAACAATGGATTGCAAATCTTCCTTTACACAACTTTTTTTCTTCAACGTCTCTCAAGAGCGTATCTATATGTTTGGCAAATAGATTAGTCGGAGCGTGAATTGCATCAATTGCATTTTATCAAACCGAGTGAAACTGTGATGTGGGCCAAGCGATTGGTAAGCTATTAGCACATCAGCAAGGTCGGCGTCTTTAGCACATTTTATGCGGTAGACGTGACAATCATAAAGAATTTTAACACAAAACACACACACACAGCGACAACAAAAAAACCAAAAGTTGTTTACTTAAATCTTAAGCTTGCTAATGTCAAGTGATCGGCTCCGATTTGACCCAAGTCACAAAAGGTGTCGATTAATTCTATGAAAATGACATGAGCAACACACAAATTTGTGTCGCTTAGAATTAAAATTTGAGTCACACTTTTGATGTAATTATAGAAAACAACAACAGATTCGTTTCGCTTGTTGTTTTTTTTGCCTTCTATAAAAGATGATATAATGCACAGCTGAGCATTCAATGACCACACCGCATACGATTGATTGAACCAAAGAGCTGTGAGCTTGATGCTTTTTTCTCTTCTTCTTCTTCACTTAACTCATGTGCACAGACAAATCGTGACCAAACGGAATTCATAAATAGATTTGTTTGATGCACCGTTCGTTTAATTTCGACACGATATTCACATATTTGCATCCGCAAAAATCAAATCACAAGCAATTTTTCACGAATTTGCGCTTCGGATCGGGCACTTGAAAATTTGTTCAAAACGAAGAAGAAGAAGCAAAATAATGATGAAAATCGGTTGGATGTTGAAAAGGGAAAATGCAAGCAATTAAGTAAATTATCTCTTGCTCGTGATTCTGGTTTGTTTAGCTGGCGTGCAATGGGAGAAAAATACGCGCGCGCCCATTTGCTCGTGTTTGCTGAATTGTGCTCTATAATAAAACAAAAATACGTTTCACTTTCACAGAAATCGATTCGCTTCAGAACGAAAAATATCACAAACCATTTAATTGATTCCAGATAAAAAAAACAAATCCAACTGCATCAACTGAAAAATTCACTGAATTCAAGCCAGATAGACACGGTAGCTGAATAATGTTTAGCACTTGATTGTTTATACAACCACTGAAATCACGAATCTCTCAATACAAACGGAATGACAATGTGACGGCACAATGATGAACTTGTTCGCTCAACGTTTGCGATTCAAATGAATAAATAAAAAAACACACAAGGCTGAGACACCAACTCAAACCGAGAAACTATGCTTAATAAGGACTATACAATAGAAGCGGCACAGCTATAAGGTGGTTGATGTATATGCTCAAAGCTATGGTTTCGTTTTTCCGACACAATTCGTCGGCAACGCTCGTGATGAAACCGAATCGCTTTCGTTTTTTTTTTCGTGTGCTTGCCCTGTAATCGCACATTCCGACGTAAAGCGTATCAAAATCGTAGGAAACGATCGTTAAAATTGAAATATCATTCCCTCCAAAAAAGCCAAAAAAATAAAATAACAACACAACGATAAAGCTTCGCTTATTCAATGCGTGCTCGCGGAACTTCAATTGTATAATTGAACACTTTGGCTGGTGTATATGAATTTTATTTCAACGTTTTTCATCGATTCGATGAGGTGTGTGCGCAACAAGTCAGCAAATTCTAGTTGAAAATAGCCAAGTTTCAATAATAAATATATCGGTTTAGCATAGCATTAAACAATTAGATACGATATTGGAACTCTATTTATTCCATTTAAATTGATTTTTTTTCTCTTTCTTTTCTAATTACAGACAATATATTGAGAATTTGGTCCAATCACTTTTTTCAATTGGTTTGCTTGGGCCAATTTTATTTGGAATGACAAATATTTTGGAATTTTTTCCTCAATTTTTAAAAGCCTGGAGATACGAAATTATTTTGAAAACGTTAACATTGAATTTAATCGATTTGTTTACAGAGTCAGATTTTTTTTCCCAATATTATTACTACTGTGGGTCATGCTTAATTCGTTCAAAACGAATGACCGCCTCTGGTTGACCATTCGTTTCGATTGAATCCTTGTCAAAACAACGTATTTCCTATCGAAAGAAATATCTATCGACGTTTTTTTGCTTATAAGTGAAGAAGTGTGTATTTGAGAAAAATAGAGAGAAAAAAAAACGGGTAATCGGTTTCGCTTCAAGGCTAACTGCGCTGCTCAAAGTATTCCTCAGTGTAAATTGCCTCTTTGGCTTTGCATTGAGTGGTTTATGAATGGAGGTTTTGTCATTAACATGATTATAGATAATAGTTTTTTGTTTTCAACCGAGTTTTTTTTGTCTTCGTTATTGCGTATATACATTGTTTTTGTTTTAACGTTCAATGTTTCAACGATGACACTGGCAAATGATTTGGTAAATTTAATTAAAAGATGAGTGTAGTCCATTAATTATATCAATCTGTTGCTACCTCAATCAAGGGAACCATTTAATTATATACATACAATGTGAAATGGATGCATCGATCACGGCAACAAAATTGAAGCTTCCATTGAAATTTATTGCGCCACACATTCATCAGTTACCATAATAGTGTTTGAATGTCGATTGCTTAATTAGAGGACCTTCTCAATCCGGGTTCCATTCATTTTTCGAATCGAGTAAATGATTTCGGGCTGTGTTTCAGAATGAATTTTTTTATACGAGGAAAAATCCCGTTGACCTTTCACACTAACAGTGTGATTTTACTACTGAACCATTCACCAACCGGATTTATTAGCTCGATGTAATCAATTTTTGAGCGCAATGAGCTTGATATTTTCTATTTGCATTCGCATGACATACACTATGTATGAAGAATAAAACAAAACCAAAAAAAAAACTGAAGCTTTAGTTCAAGCTTCAAAGTGAGAAAATGTACACGTAGTTGAACGCCACACTGTCATATATGCCAAGTTGAACAATTCTGAAGCCGAGCATTTTTTTTCAGCGACCAAACCCAGAAAAATTGCTGCGATGAGTCTGACGCAATTTTCCCAAACATCAATTAGATTAATTGAACGCAATGGGTACGGTACGGTGATGACGTCGATCTCACATCGCCAAATATGTACGGTATATGCTTCAAAAACGATAATGCATCGCGTGCAACGTAAAAATTTTCCAACCCTTTTGTACACTGGGTATATTGCTATTTATTTTTTTTTCTACTCGTACCACAACTGAGGGAAAGAAAAAGCGTCCGTATCTCGACGGAAATTTGCTGGAAATGCACAAAGGGAGAGAAGAAAAAAAGAACCACTTTGGCTCACACTTCCGATACATAAACGATTTTCTTCAGGTGTGTGTATGTGTGTGTGTTTGTGCTCTTGAACAAACGACAACCTTGCAGACATTGTCCGGTGTACACAACTCACTCAAAAATCACAGCAAACAACCATTAAGCTTTGATAAACACACAAGTGAAAAATAAACAGCAAACCATTTTATGGCAATTTTACACATGATCAAATGCACTTCTGACATTCAACGATTGACATTCACGAAGTAAGACAAATTGACTTGTTTCAAGCTCAATTTTTCACGGCATTATGAATATTTTACAATCATCATAAACAAAAAAATGTTTACTTGTTGTTTTTACTTCTATTTCATTTCAACATTCCAGAATTTGAACCAACAGATTTGAGATTTTTGCCATTCGTCTGATTTTCAAAGGAAAAAAATCCTCTTCGAAATTGGTTCGGCTCTAATAAAAAAAAAACAACACGCTTCATTTTATAAATATCAAATCAATCTTACGCTAGTTACCGTTATTACTGTATATGCGGCTGGTGGGTTGAGTGTACCTGTGCGAAGTAAACAACCGTACACCGGGAATCGGGAGCGAGAGCGTTTGTTTATACAAACGACACCAAACAAGTCGACGTAACCAACCAAACTGATCGAAAATTTCGGCCACAAAACGGGGAAAACACTGACTCTGGCGCGCGCTCGTCACCATGTGAATTATCACAGGTGTATGCTTTTCTTGTGCAGAGCAGCTTATAGATATACATACGGGGGTCATTATAAATGCTCATAAATTGAAATAAAAAACAAAATACACAGCCCCTCCAAACAATGTACAATAGAATTTTTGAAGTTTGGCTTTGTGAACGACGACAGCAATGACGGCGACGTCGACGGCACAATACAATAATCAATAAATTCCAAATCCAGTCAAAAGCAACCAACTGCTTGTATGCTATGTTATATTTTTCATATACTTTAAGCATCAATTATTCAATAGATTTTGGTTTTTTGTTGTGAACGCTAGTGATTTCGAGACATGAGCATATTCGAGTGCATTGTTCAAGTTGCCACCATTGAGTAAGAGAAGAAAATTCTCACATCAAAACAACGCAAATGAATCTGCTGAATGAAAGAGACGAAAAAAAGCGCGCGCAACGGAATTGATTAAAAGCAGCTACAACAACAAATTGCACTACTTTGCATGATCATTCAATGTTATGCGGGAACAAACCGCGCTTGTATACTAGCGCTTGTTCGCGTTAACATAAGCCAAACAATTGTTGCCTTTATGTTATAGACGAGAGAAATAAAAAGTGAGCGATAGCAGCTCACTGTTAAGTAGCTCGAATTGAAATAATAATAATGTAGTAAAAGATGCTTGAATTAAAATCAAAAATACAGTTTCGTCAAAGTGATGACACTCCACACGGAATCGCGCCGTTGCAATTGCCACTGTGTCAAATATACAAAAACAAAGCGACATACTCTCGGGCTGCTCTAATGAAACACAACATTATGTAACATTTGCGGCAGATTCAGAGCGTCTAATAAGCATCTTATGTCACTCGGTGATGCTCACTTAAAAGAGCAATTGCACAGAGAGTGTGTGTGTGTTGTGTTGTGTTTGAGCGATTTGCCAAAGTGAAATTTGCCGCATTTTCCAGCATTTGCCCATGTAATTAACACATTTTCAAATCACCTAAATTTTTTTTTTTTCACACAAAAACAAATGAAAAGCAAAAAAAGATAAATCAAAGAGGATGAAGAAAAAACATCCCACCAAAAGTACACACAGACATCAAATGTTGAATTGAACAAGATGAAATCGCTTGAAATCGTTGTCGCTTCCTTTGCTGCTGACGACAACGACGGCGACGACGATGATGATGATGATGATTTTGATGCATGTTCGACCCGATTAAAAAGTCATATTGCGTGTGTTAAGCCAGCGCTAATTCACACATCCACAATAATTCTCGAAATTATATTTCTGGTGTTTGGCATGCAGTCAAAAAAAAATGTAATTTATGACCCGAACCAGCCAAAGAATAGCAACGAGCATACGAAGCATAGCCGAAAGAGAGAGAGTCTATCTATTTATTTTCTGTATGTTAAATAGTTGCATAACAGTGCATAGAGCGAGAGAGCGCGCGAGAGAGAGAAGAGTCCACCGATCTAGTTTATGACGACAACGAAGCGGCCGACTGCAGTAGTAAACACATTCATTGCAATTTAGCATATATTCTCAATTGTAGAGCATTAAATGTTTGTAATGGCGAAAATTAAAATTTTCATTCAAATTATGCACATGTGTTTTTTTCGCACCCGTTCTCTCTCTCTCTCTCTCTTTCTCTCCCTCATTCCACCGCTTCGCTCTGCCTTACGCGATTACAACAACAATGTGCTGTACTCGAAATGCTTTTTCGAAAGCAACGCGATAGGCCGCATTAGCAAATAGTATTTATCACTCTCACTTTGTTTGCACACATATTCCAGCGTGCGCCGAATACACTAGAAAAATAGAGATTCACATTTAGCTGAACGGTTCGACTGTGAAAAATCGAATTTATTTGGAGAAATGATAACCAATTCAATAAAAAGCATAACATCATAATTATAGGCTGTGTATTCGATGAAAATGATTGCATCGCACTCCCGCATTTTTTCATTGTTATTGTTGTTGTTCTATTTTATGTTTTCGATATTTAGCGACTCCATTGACATTTCAACTCCGATGGGAAACGAAAAATAAAAACACAACAAAAACTTGTTAACAACAAAACGATAACGATGCCATTCCATCGACACAATTAAAAAAAAAAAAACGCACACTACACTCGGACGCATGAAAGAGAGAACCAACTATTTTACGCCCATGTTCATTTATTAGCCGCACTGATTAATATCATAATTGGATCTCGCATTTTAGTTATATTGAAATCAAGTTATATCCCGATTCGAAAACCGAACAACATAACAAAAACACACACACACACACACACCGAACGAACTAAACTTCGTGACACGAAATCAAATTGAAGCTAATTATCTGTATTGTAATACATATATATTAATCAAACTATAAATATGAACAAAAAGGTAAAATTATCATGATAAAATTAATGAATGTTTAGTGTGTGCCTACTCGTTGTCATCGGCTCATCGGCCGCAGAGAATATCACGCGTACTAATGACTCCCGAGTTAATAATGGAATTGCGAGCAAAAAATAAATTCGTGCTCCGTTTTTTCAGTTATATTTGACAACGAAAGAAACAAATGCAGTACACTTGTGTCGCCATGACCACAGCGGATATATTCACTGGGAACAATGTATTATCATCTTCACGCAACCAAACATTGAAAAAAAAAGAAGAGCGAAACGGCAAATGATATAAAAATGTATACCATGAATGTCGATTCACCAGAGCCCGAATAAACTGATTCGGAAAAGAACAGCAAAGCAATGGGAATACAAACCGAACAACGTATATACAGATATATGTCTATTTATCAAAAAAAAAAAAATGTATACTCACATAGGAAAGTGTTTGTGTTTTGGATGTTATAATTTTTATATCATGTCGTTTCTTATATGGTTGATTTTTTTATTTTTCTTCTTCTTCTTCTTTGGTCGTTTATGTTGCGACAAATCGTACGTTTCTAGCGAAAGGAGAACAAAAAAAAATCCGTATCCCCGAGTTTAGTGCTCTATTTAAACTTTGAGCAATGTTTCCTTTCTGTCTTCGTTGTCGCCGCTGTTGTCTCTCAATTCAGCGCAATTGTTAAGTAAACGCAGTGTATACGATGATAAATCACAGTTTGGCCTTGTAAACAATACTCCAAAATGGAACTTTGGCAACCTCTCGATACACATCTTTACCGAATGACAATGTTAGCCAAAATCAAGCGCAAGATAGAGAAGAAGAAAAAAATGAAAGGGAACATCAAACACACAACAAATCACCAGTTAAATATTTGCAAAATCAAATTCTTTTCATGAATGGGAACAATTTTTGACACAAAATTGTGTACAATGCGCGCATAAACACGAAAAACTACATGCACGCTATACATCAAACAATAAACTGATCTAAGAGCCGAAAAATGAAAAACACACAAAAAAACAACAAATTGCTAGCGCAACACCGTCCATAAATTATTTCGACAAAATGCGCCTTCGATTTTATGTGTAGACAAGGTATAAAAAAAAGAGCACTCACATTGCACATGGCACGAGCCCGTGAGATACAGGCAAGAGAAAGAAGAAAAAAAAGAACACAAGAAGAAAATCACACACGAATAACACAAGTGAATTGCAGCCCAGCAAAGAGTGAAGCAAAGCAGCTCAACACCGAATGATGTGCAAAATGAATAAAAATGATTACAAGCACACAAATGCTTCACGTCACAACGAATAGAGTGTTTTTTTTTTGTTATTTGCACAAACACCACCACTACCACCACCAGCAGCAGCAGTAATGGCAGCAACAATGTATATCTGTGTGTATGCGCACCTCTCGCACACACAAACGCCTCTCAACCAAAACTATTCAAATTGGGGAAATTTTCATTCATCGCACACAAGCTCAATATGCAGCAAACAGGCACATGCGCACTCAACACCACCGCCAATTGTTTCCCATTTGGCCAAAACGACAACTGCCATTCAAAACATTCATTAGGCCATGAATTGCTGCGAAAATAGGCACGTTTGATGAACGCGCTTAGAAACAGAAAACAACCACTTAGCATAACGCGAACCACGTTGTGAGTCCGTTTCCGTGGAATATCGACCGTTTCATTGTATAAGTTTGGAAAAACAAATGCAAAATTGACATCACACCGGATTTCGACTTTTCTTTTCGCATCAAAAACACTTTCGATCATTTTATAATCGTTTATCGGATGTACAATAGCTATGTGCGTTGTGCACGCTGCTCGCCAAACTATTTATTCAACGACTTGTAAAGAGGTGTTTAAACGCAAATAAATCGTGCTCTCAATCGTTGCCGATCCAAACCCATTATTTACTTCAATTCTAATGGTAATTATGCAATTATTTCTCAACTGCTGCTGCTACTGTTGCTGTTGTTGTTGTTGTGGTTGTTGTTGTTGTTGAGCTATTCTCCAAACGATGTTTACAGTTTCCAAAAGCTCAATGCTTCGATAATAATAACAATCCCTTTTTCGAGATGTAAGGGTATTTTCTGCTACGATACCCGACTCCAGATATAGCAACGACCATAGAAAACGCAAAGCAACAGTTCAATAAAAAATGAAGCTCGCATTTAATTAAAACGAAAAACATTCATTATTATTTACGAACTATTAACAACACTCACAGAACTTAAACCCCTTCAAAGAGCACATACACACAACTTTGAAAGTTTTTACACGAGAAATTGTCTGAAGCTCGTGCATATTGCATGAATTGGATTGTGGACAAAAAATTGCAAGCGATAGAGTGGGAGAGAGAGAGAGAGAGAGAGAGAAAGCAAGAGGGAGCACCCCTGTCAAATGAAAAAAAGTCTCCCATGAATTTTCCATCATCGGTACACTTTTGAAACATATGATTGCATTTGAATAGGTTCAGAGTTAAAGATGATTCAACCTCTACAAATTTGGTATTCAATGAAAACAATCTCATTAAATTCCACTGCATTCTACAAATTTGTCGGCTGGGTCGGAGGCTGTTGTATGAGTGTGATAGTCTTTGGGAAGAGGGATTATGATTATCCAAATGGGATTTGACAAAAACCCTTTTTCATTCCATTTAGCAATTACAAACAAAATTACAAAAGCAAAGGAGACCGTTTTTTCTCTGTCACTCTATCTAGCCACATACACACACTTGTTTCTGAGATGTACAGGAAAGAAACTCTTTCAAGAAACTGAAGTAATTGCTTTGTTGAGCAAATGAAAAATGCATAAAATTCCATTTTCAAGCGTAATTTGCATTTGTTTTGATACTTATACTTTCATTGTCATTCATCTCTTTATTTTGGGGTTTCATTCCACTTGTATTCTTCGCTTTTTCCACAATGAACTTGTTAATTCGATTTGAAGCAACGGCTTTTAAGTTCCATATCAACCATCAACGTGCATAGTTAATCACGAGCAATTTTCAAAGCAAAACCAAAACAAATAAATAAACAAAAAGTCTCAACCGAATAGCAAGACATCTAGCGGTAAACTTTAGAACTTTCAACAGCTTTCGACGTGCATTTAATTCAAAAAAAATGGTCGTTTAATCCATGTTAAGGCATGTAATGCGTATGGAAAATACAAGAATAAATGCTGAAAATGTTAAAAATTCAATAAAACAACACAGTTTATTCATTTTTTTTCTCGATTATTTAACCGAATGAAATGGAGCATGTGATGAAATGATGAGAAAATGTGCTTCTTGACTTTAGCACATGGTGTGGTAATCGTAGAATCTTTAGTACACATTCCAAAACAATCGCACACTGTTGCATCGGTTAACACAAAATGTCTGCAGTTCACAGTAAAGCATGACATACTGAGCAGCAACAACGTTAAAATCCCATTGAAATGAATTTAACTGGGAATTCGAAATATATTTTCGATATTTTAATGGAATTCAATCGAAATTTCTCTTTCAACCAAAGAAATTCACGAAAACCTCTTCCATTTATACACATTTCTCGGCCAGCATAACGACATCAATTCGCACGCATCGATTGGAATGTGTTGGTTTTACTGTGATGGTCGTCGAAAAAAAAAAACACTGTATTGTGCGAACACACCAACAGATGACGGCGAACAACGTTTACGTCAGTTCAGTCGATGTCTGCCTACCCAAGAAAAGAGGCACCATTTAGAAAATTCATCGTACGTGTGCGTCATATTATTTTTGTTTTATCAGCGAACGACCAAATTCAATATATTCGAATAAGTCAGTCTTCTTTTAATTTTTTCGTTTTTCGGTTTTTCGGTTTTTTTGTTCGATTTGTGTTTTTCTTTTGCGTTCGGTTTTCAACAACAACAACAATAGAACAACAATCTGCCATTCGCTCCTGCTGATCCAAGAAAATGAACAGTGATGAAAAAAATAAATAAATGAAAATCAAATACAAAACGAATAATTCCAACCAAAAAAAATAGTTTCTCGTTTTTTTCTTTCTGAATTTTTGTGCCCGAATTGAAAGAAAGATAGTCAAGTGAGCGAGCGAGAGCGTATAAAGTGTATTTTCGTCGTGTGTGTTGAAATGAAATGAAATGAAAAAAAAAACGTACTGCACGAGTTTACTTTGTAAAAGCATTTTGTGAATAAATATACTCTTTTTTTGGGTAGAGAGTCCAAAAAAAATATTTTCTTCTCTCGATTTTAATTTAAAACAACAATACAGAGTGAGAGAGAACCGTACCAGCGAACAACACGTTCATCGACATTAACACCGAAGAAGAAGAGGAAACCAAAAAAAAAGAAAAGAAAATTTGATTTGGCAATTTTGCGTTTATTTTGGGTTGGGACCTCTTCGGTTGGTTTGATTTTGTTTGAATATTGCTGAACATATTCAGGAGATTTGAATTACCGACAACTCAAACCAAAATTATCGGTCACCATCTTCTTACCATAATTTTTTTTTGTATTTTTGAAATTCTCTCTCCGAAATTCTCTGTTGTGTACGTGTGTTGTCCAGCGTGTGTAGAAAAAAAACATTTTCGCGCGAAATTTTGTACAAAAACCAAAAAAAGATCCTTGTAAAAATGAAAGAAACCACAGCCACCAAGTAGCACAGACTCAACGCATGCTGATCGATTGAATTAGTGCCTGTAAAACACACAATAGAAAGCAAGTGAAACAAAATAAAAATACAAATCAAAACAATATTCCAGTTGATAAATTGATGTAATTGGAACAATATATAAATATATATATACCCAGTAACAAGAGTTTTTGTACGTGTAAACTTCCGAAATACAAGTTAATCAACTGAATTACCGGAACAGCAGAGAGAAAAAAACACTCAACCCAAGCAGAAGCAGCAGCAGCAACAACAACAGCAGAAGAAGAGAATTTAAAGCCGAAAATACACAGCAAAAACCGAGAAAGAATTGGAAAAGAAGTGAAAAAATTGTTACAAAAAGAATTTGTAAAAAAATATGTACGTAATCCATGCATTCCAATAAGGAATCAATGTATGAAAATTGACGATTGGGAAAATTTCGTACTTTTTTCTACTGAATTTTATTTTTCGTTCAGCGTTTGTAGCGCGGTGCGCCAAAGTGTATGTGTGTATTATTGTGCGAGTGTACGAATGATATGTGTGTTGATATTTGCAGTTATTTGATACACACAATTTTTCTATGGTGGTTGTTGCTCTGTTTATTATTATACTGTTTGTTTTTTTCGTTGGTTCATTCGATGTAATTTCTTGGTTACAACTTTCTTGTTCTGTTCGATGTTCGATTTCCATTCACATGTGTGAATCGGTTCAATTCTTAATTGGAAATTTAATAGTTCGAAAGTGGCCGAACACACTATAGCAAAACGAGTAGCAAGTAGTGTGACATACGACATATAATACCAGTCAACTAGCCAACTAACAAAAAAAAGTGTATGAACACACGGTAAGGTGATCATAAGAATGAAGTAATGCATGTGTATGTGTGCATCATGCATAATTCGTGTGTGTTGGCCATCATTCGGCGCGCATTCAGCAAATGTGTGTTTTAATTAAAACATGAGAAACGACGACAACAACAACAACAACCGAATCACACACAAAAAATATATACGCAAACGAGGTGTCACTTTGGTGGTGACATTGTATGCGTTTGGCTGGCCCAATGAGAAAGGGAGAAAGAGATAGCTAAAAAAAAGTGCAATATTTATCAATTATTATTATTGTTGGTCATAACAAACGAGAAAAAAAAACAATTGCCTGTGTCCAGAGATTATGCGACACAAACGATTTTATGCGTGCTTTCAATCGACGACGATGACGACGACGACAACGGAGAAGACGACGAATACGTCGACGACAATACCGAAAAAAAAAACAAATTACATGAATCAATCGCGCTTTCAATTTCAATGTAATCGAACGACGGATTCGCAATTATGCTACGGGAAATTGGAAATGGTTCAATCGCATATTTCAAAAGGAATACAATCCATCGCTCACGTAACATCCCCTTCATGGGCGAATGTCCTTCGAATCAGGATTTTACCATTTTATTTTTATTTAGCATGGACGAATAAACAAAATACTTGAACAAAAACCAACAAACAAACAAAATAAACAGCTTCAATAACGCGGCTTATGAAAAGAGATGGGCAACAAAAAAGTGTACAACTCTGAATTGTTTCAGAGATTTGTTTTTCCATACAAATCCTATTATAATTCATTTGTTCGATGTTATGAAAAATGATGAACATGTTTAAATTTGCACACTTGAAACTAATTGGACTCCAAAGCAGCAGCAGCAGCAGCAGTACAAACGATACCGAAAGGGCAATACGAATAATGAATGCTCATGTGTGTCTATGTCTATGCGTGTGAGTGAGTGAGCTTGTGTGTGTGTATGTGTTTATGTGCGGCTGGCACACCGAAGCTGGAAAATTGAAAATGATAAACAAATACGCCACAAAATAATAGGGAAATACATACAATATGCTTCTATGTATTCAATGTTGAATGCCGTCGTGTTTATGTACGGATATCATTGCTGTTGACTGTGAGTAAAAGATGGATGGAAAATTGACACCGAGCGTGCATTTAAGGAAACCTCGTCGTCACTCAAGATGTACGAAAAGTGAAAGAAAAAAAAAACAGCGAACTTCTTACAAGGAAGAAAATTTCAGTTGCGATAGTGATTTCTTAACTCTCGGTTAGGAGAGAGCCGAGTGAAGCAAGTTAGCAAGTTAGCTGAAAAAAAAGCTACGTTCTAAACCCAAAACAGCAAAATCTGTATGAAAATGGGCAGGCCAAATGAATTTGTCAAATTAAAAAATTTGACAACCGTATGAGTACACAACAGGGAAATGTGTGAAAAGGCTTTTGAAATTGACCCCATGTTTTTAACTTAAACACAATAATACAATCAGCGCGGGCAAAGAGAGTCCGAAAAAAGAGTTGAAACAAGCAAACACACAGAGAAGAAGAGAGAGGGGGAAAAAGACGATTGACAAAAGTAAGAAGAATGTTGTTGTTGCCTCGTACTGTGCTGCTCTGTTTCTGTTGCGTATATTAGAATGTCGTTTTGTATACAAAATAATTTTTATATTTAATATTAAAGTAATGTAATAACACACCACACGGCATGTGTATGTGAGTAACGACGACGACGACGACGACGACGACGACGACGACGACGACGACGACGACGACGATTAAGAGTGTTGGGGAGCGCTGGGCACTGAGCGCGCGGTAAATGTTTTTAGTTGGTGGCATTTCACTATTGCACAGGCAAAAGCATGCACGCACACAACTATGAATTCATCATGTCTCGTTCTATCTCACTCACGTTTCGCCAGTCAGCCAGTTGAGGCACTTATGTTACTACTCTTCTATATTGCTCATGTACACACCATAAAAGCAAACCGAGCGATGTAAACACATACGAACGTGAGCTTGCTCGCGCGCACATATACACATACGCACCCATACATTTGCAACCATATGCGCGACTGAATGCTTCGTTCATTCGTTCATCAAGAGAAATGAGCAAGTATTTATTGTTACTCAAATGAGGCGAGAAGAAGAGAAGAAGAAGAAGAGAAAAAAAACTGTATACAAAATAAATCGAGCGCAGTATTGGTATTTATTTCTGTGTGGTATGTTTTACTTTATTTCTCTCATATAATGATTTCTCACTTTCTCAGCTAACGCACTGTGTGTACCAGCAACAGGAACACACTCTGGGCTTTCCACTTAGTACACAATCATAAACATTTTTTTTTATTTTTGCGTTGCGTTCAATTTGATGATCAATAGCTTATGAGTATGTTTGTCGGTGTGTATTGAACGAATGGAACGGAATGAAAATTATATGGGCTAAAAATCTGTCGCCTTCGTTGTTGTTGTTGCTGTTTATGATGAATAGATGACAGTCCCAAGGATGTATGTGTGTTGTTGGGTGCCAATGCATTAATTACTTCATCTAATGCGTTCCCATTAATGTCTCTATCTCTATCTCTCTTTCTTTTATCAATTGAAATGATTCCAGATGTACTGGATAATCCGTTATTCGTTCCAATCCGGAGCCTGTTTTGCACTTACGCACACCCCCACCGACGATTTTACGCTTGCCGTCACCGTCACCGTCGTCGTCGTCGTAGCCGTTGTTGTTATTGTTGTTGTTGTATTTGAATGGCTTCTTTCCAACGGAACCATATAGATTGCTTTCGCTCGATGAACATCGTTCTTTGATCCAAAAGTGTTGTGGCGCTATTTTAGCAGGCATGCACTTCATCTGAAGTGCACATGCCAAAAGTCCATGAGCATTCATTGGGCTATTGTTTTTTTTTCCTCTTTGCTATAGTCGTCGTCGTCTATTTCTTATCATTTCTGCCTTCGGCAACGAACGACAATGCAAATTGCGATGCAAACATATTGTACGCCACAGAGACAATAACCAACATTTTTCTATGCTTTCGTTCTTTCAATCGCTTTTTATTTCCGAGGCACAAGAAGAAAACCATTAGTGAAAAAACGCAAGCCGAAAGAGAAGCCAGAGAAAAAAAAAATGTGGCTTTTAAGTAGCGAACAAGCCAAAATGTGTTAGCATTTCTTCACAGGCCGATACTCTCACTTTTCCCATCGCACATATACCGACATTCTCTGTGCGATGTTCGCCTCTTTTCGGCGAAGATTATCCATACACCGAAATGGAAAAATAATAGTGTACAAAATGTTTTAAACATTCGGAAGATACCGAGCTATAGAAGACACTCGATTCGGGCCGACTCGATTCGACTCGACTCTCCTCTCTTTTGCAAAGTGTTCCATCCGACATATAGGTACATCGTGCATATACAGAGAATAGAGAGAGATGGATCAAACATTGAGTGAGATTGAGACGAGGAAAAAGCGCGCGCGTTAAGTAGAAAAGTCAATGTGTGCATGAATGTGTCCCCCCGCGTGTATTTTATGCACACATCTCTCGATGCTACGATGTGTGTACAAGAGAGAGAGAGAGAGAGAGAGACAGAGAGAGAGAGAGTAGTGAGTCAGTGTTTGTCTCCCGTGTGTATGTGCATGTTTGCACAACGAAACGATGTACGTGAGAATGAATGAGTGAATGTTTCGCTGTCTCTGTCTGTGTTGCATTTGATCGTACTGTTTCGTGTGTGCGCAACTTCGTGTGTCCGATATATATATATATATCTATATATATATGTATGATTCAAATACATTTGTACTGGTACCGTTTGTTCACATCAATTCCGAGCCATCATCATCATATCAATTGACTCATTCTCTCTATATGAGTGCAAGAGAAGAGTAGAGAAGAGAACAAAAAACAATAAAAGATGAAAAACGCCACACACAAACGTAGCGCGCTCAATTCGTTTTTATTTTTCGGTATGGATGATTAGAGAAGGAGAAAAGAGCTCACCGAATTTTCACAGAAGCGACGACGACGACGAAGATTTTTCACAAAATCGTATTGCATAGCATATAGACAGTGAAACAGAGAAATATACCATAATATCTCTATATATCTAATATTTTGGTGTTTTCATACACACGGTGTGTGTTGCTGGTGTTGTTGGCATTTTTTTTCCACTTAGTTCTTTCTTCCTTGGCTGTGTGTCGCGCGCGTTCTCGTGCTGTATTTGTGTCTATACTCTTATTATTATTTGGAGGGTTTTTCTTCCACAACATAATATTTGGAAGAAAAAAAAAACAAACCGAGTGGTTCTGTTTATGCGAATCGCGAAAAAGTGAGAAATGAAAATTTTGTGTGTGTTTTCATATTTTTGTTCATTCGTTTATTGTCGACAATTGTCTGTGTATTGAAGCCACGGTTCACTTTTTCATATTGTTGGATAATTTTCGATTGGCTTGAGATCTTTCATGTGCTGTGAGTCTGTGTTTTATATAAAACAAAACGTCGTTTGAACACTGTACATCGATGCATACGGTGAGAAAATTTTGTTCGCACCGAGCAAAAGAAAATGAAAGAACAAAAAAAAAACAAGAAATAAAACGAAATATCAACTTTGAAGAAGAAACAAATGTAGCGTAAAACAAATGAAATAAAATATGTGGGTTTTTGTTGTTATATTATTATTATGATTGTAAATATCGCGCTCAGAGAATCACTCACTGTGGCTCACGGAGCGATTGGTTGGTGCTTTTTGTTTTTACTTATTATTGTATTTCGATGATCGGTGCTAATGTGCGAAAATTCTAATTCCGTGTGTTTCATTTCCATGCCAACCCAAAAGCAATTTGCGGCCAACGCTGTAAAGTACAAACGCCGAAAATCGGTAATTGCGCGCAAAAAGTGACTGCATGTGCTACTGTGATTCGGTTTTTTTTGGTCGACGTCGTCGTCATCGTCATCGCTATCGTCTTCGTAGACGATGTCGACGATGCGATTGTTGTTGTTGTTGTTTGTTGTTCGGTTATCCAGTTGACAGTCCATTAAATTTGGATGCACACTCAGAACCGTGTGTGTGTGTTTGGCTCCATTGCAAAAGCTGTGCACAAGTGAAAGGAACACTTAGAGATGAAAATCATATGTGAATGTTTGTTTATATTTCGCATCATCATCAACATCAACAACAATGTTGTGTGAGAGAAGCACACATTAGAACCTTTCGTTTCGCTCTCTTTCACTCGCTAAACACCTCTGCTACTATTGCTTCTTCTTATTTTTCTACTCTTTTAATTCGGAGCAATGTGCACTGGCTGCTTGGGTGTGATTCAATATTTGCCTCAAACAAACGGGAAACGATGATGCGTATTCCGATAAAATATACACAAAAGACGCGCAATCACATAATACACACCTAGATGCAAAGTGAAATTATTGACACACGGTCAAATGTGATTAAGTTCATGCATTTGTTTGATTACACAGCCATATATCAAGAAAATTTCATGTTTCAATCTACCCATGAAATTGGATTCAATCACATAATCAGAATTTATCATGGTTCATTTATGGATTTAATTGAAAAGACTGGAAATTGGCCGACGGTTAAGAAAGCTTATATTGGAATGTCAAGAATTAGTCGTCGATATGTGTCGTATGAAAGATGAATAAAAAACAGTGAGTGAGTGAGCGGGATTGAGGGGAAGAGAAAAAGAATGGGAGTGAGTGAACATGAGTGACTGACCAATGATGACCACACCATGCTGGATTTGATTGATTTTCAACAAAACGCTTTATTAAATCTATCAATCAATTTAATTAGAATGAACCAACAACAACAACAACAGCAACAAAAGTGAATGCATGCACAAAACTGACGTTGCAGTCGGTGTTTCGTTTTGCATGTATGTGTATTGCTTGCGTATTGGCACACGTACGTAATGCTGCAAAAAAGGATGCGATGGAAATGAATATTGACAAAAGTATTGGTCATTTTTATTGATCGATATATTCATATTATGAACCACTTCATATGGGGCCAATTTATGTATTTGCTTTAATTAAAATTCAAAATTCGTGTATTTCAAACTCACCTTTTTTTTTTCGTTTCAAATGGTTGGAATGAATGTTTTTAGATTCTATATCGTGTGGAATGTACGATGTCAAGTGTTTTTCTATGTTTTATTCATGTCATTGAGAAATATCGAAAACAAAAAACTTAATTTCTCTAACGAATTTTCGGTTTTTTTGTTTTGTTCTATTCCAAACGCACATATACAGTTGCACAGCCGCCGATGTAGATCAATTCTGGAGTAACAGAGTAGAGGTTAATTCAATTTTGGACGTCGTCGATTATTTTCTATTCTTTCCCACATGAAACAAAAACCAAAAATCAAACACCGAAAGAAAGTTAAAACAAAATCAATTTGTGTACAGTCAAATCCAATGAAATATGTCGCCGACGATAAGTACATCCAAGAAAGCGGCCAAATCAACTGGCCGACAAACGAACAATTCATTGTCTTCGCTCACCGGACAAATACATATTGAACATCCAGCATCAGCAACAACAGCAAAATCGAATGATTCCAAATCACAAACAAATAGTAACGCTTCCAGCGGTAAAACAACCACTACCACCAGCAGCAGCAGCAGCAACAACAGTAATGAGTCAAAGAAATCGACTAAAGGGCCGAATAGTAATAATAATAAAAACAATGCCAAAACGGAGAAAAAAAGCGGGGCACGCAATTCAACGACGACCGCCGCCACACACAAAGCATCATCTAGTTCAGTGTAAGTGTGTCTTCTTTTTTCTTCTCTCTCTCTCTCTCTCTCTCTCTCTCTCTCTCTCTCTCTCTCTCTCTTTTTCTCTCTCTCTCTTTCTCTCTCTTTAACTCTCTTTGTATCAACACACAATGAGCGGTGCCAATAAAAGTGTTTTGTCCATTTCGATTCGAATTCAACGACTCGAATTCCTTTTTTGACTGTTGTTTGTTTATTTTCATTTCTGATCGTTTTTTTCTGTTCGTTTGTTTGTTTCGTTTGCAGTTTAACGGAAACGGAAGAAGTTTTACAAATAGGAATGCATAAAGTGCTGGAACACGTGAAAAATCACAAAGATGCGTGGCCATTCATGGATCCGGTTGAAGAGGATATTGCGCCACGGTATTATTCGATAATTCGAAGGTAAATTTTGTCTAGCTTCATTGTATATTTGGCATCGATTAATCTGGTTTTTTTTGGACAACAGGCCGATGGATCTGCAGCAAATGGACGAACGATTAGAAAGCGGTCAATACATGACATTCACCGATTTTCGCAATGATTTTAAGCTTATAGTCAATAATTGCCGTTTATACAATGGACAAAATAATGGTGAGCCTATGGTTCTTTATCATTTTCTTCTGCTAACGCTATAATAAGACCGAATTTGGCTAAACCATAAATATGTTTTCTTTTCGTCATGCAGAATATACGGAAATGGTGAATAATTTGCAGCATGCATTCGAAAAAGCCACCAAAAAGTATTTCGACCAAAATTCATCGGATGAAGATGGTGATCTGGAGTATCCGGATTTGAAGACGAACGTCTTTCGTGAAAAGAACAACAGCACGAAAAATACAATAACGCCGAAAATTAAAGAGATTATCGGAACAAAGGGTTTGCCAATGAAATCGAAAAAAGCATCGGCAAATGACAAGTCAACAACCGAAGAGAAACCGGCTGAAAAAGCGACAGAGAAACCAAGTGAGAAAGTCACCGAAAAACGAGGCAGAAAACGAAAGCAAAAGTTTAAGGACAAACGAAAAGCAGACAAAGCGGTCAGCAGCGATGATGAGGCGGATTTAGTGGCGGAAGACGATGAAAATGACGACGACCTGTTGAACGAGGAAGAGGTGGTGCCAGCGAAAAAAGCCAAAAAGGAAAAGGTGGAAAAGGTGGAAAAAGTCGAAAAAGTTGAGAAGGTTGAGAAGGTTGAGAAAGTTGAAAAGGGAAAAGAGCCAAAAAAAGCAAAGAGGTCGATGGATAAGAAATCGTCGGCTAAGATAGACTCAAGTCCAACGGTAGCAGTGAGGCGGAAGAGTGGTCGCAAAGAGGTGGAACAATCACCACCGTCACCGTCACCGTCGCCGTCACCGTCACCGTCACCGATTGATGATGAATCTGATGTGGAATTGGAGCAGGTCACCAAGAAAAAGAAAGCAAAGCACACGGTCGAATCAACGGCGTCACCGGAAAAGGATAAATCGAAGACCGCTAAAAAGGAACTGAAAAAATCCAAATCGAACAAAAAACGAAAGTCATCTGAAGTGACGGCAACGGTAGCGACGACGACGGCAGCGACGAAGACGACGACGACGACGACGAAGACGACGAAAACAGCAGCAGCAGCAACAACAGTAACAGCAACAGCAACAGTAACAGCACCCTCAATGGATGTGGACGATGAGGAGGAATTGATGGAAGAGAGCCCAAAAAAAGGGAAAAACAGTGCAAAGGAAAAGAAACCAGAGAAAAAAACCAACAAGAAAAATTCGATAAAATCAAAGCAAAACGACAAAAAAGCAGCAACCACAGCAACCGCGGGTAAGAGTAAGAACAACAACAACAACAACAATAAGAAGAAAGCGAAGGCGGCCAAAGGCAAAGCCGCACCAGCACGCGATGAATCCCGATCGAGGTCGTCGTCAGTGTCGTCGAATGCATCATCATTGTCCAATTCACCGATGCGATTCACCGTTGATTTACATGAAAAATATTCAAAAAGTGCCTCAAACACATCCGTCAATAAAATTGATAGTGTGGAATCATCAAAAAACAAAAGCAGCCGTGCTCGTAGTCCGAGCCCATCAATGTCGCTCTATTCATCGGAGAATTCGAACAGTGTCAAGGATAAATTCGATTTGATCAAAGAGCGACGCAGCCGGGCATCGAATAGCGATGACAAATGGAAGCAAATTGTGAAAAATGTGGAGAAAATCAAGGACAAAACGTCAACATCGTCGACCGATGGGCCCAAAGTACAAGAAAAAAATCAAAAACTCAAAGAAACTATCGAAAAGCTGAAGCAGAAAAATAAACAAAGTAAAAAGCTATTGAATAAACTGTCCGACGCAAAATCCACGTCGAGCGTTAGCAAAGCGGAGGCAAAAAGTTCGTTTGATTTGCTAAAGGAATCAAAACCACCCAAAGCAAAAGCCAAATCAAAAGATGCGGCGGCCGAACAGCCGGATACAAGCACCACGACGGAAACTAGCAGTAAGAAATCGCCCAATAAAAAAGCGAAAGAGAAACCGGGAAAAGGTCAGAAAAAAGGCAAGCACGCGAACAAAACGCCAAATATGGAAGCGCTTGAATTGGAAACGGAACAAACGCTAAAAGACATAAATCGTTGGCTTGAGCACACACCACGGTTTCCCGAATTCAATTCGGCTAGCAATTCACCCACACGTTTTAATAGTTTGCTGTATGATTTCGATACGGTCACATCAAAGCTTGATCCGGCCGATTTTCGTCGACCATTGCCCATTACAGCAAATGATTCCACCTCAACTGCAACCACATTCACAAGTGCCAAGGATCAACATAAAACCAATGCAATCACATCCACAAAGCCGGCTACAACACCAACAAAAACCTCAGCCACAGCAGCAGCAGCAGTAACCACGACAACACCATCATCAACAGCCATCGATGATAGCGTTTTAACGGCAAAGGAAAATAAGCCGGCACCAAAGCAAACGATCCAATTGACAGGTATTCCACCGCCGCCGGGACCCCACAAACGTGATAAAGAGCCAAAGAGAAAAACTCTAAAAGAGAAAATCAGCGCAATGATTCCAAAGCGAAAAGACATTCATCGAACCATCGAACGAATGCAACCGGGCAAAACGAAAGGCAATCTCATCGGTACGATTCACAGTGCGTCCAAGCCAGAGGATGTATCGATATTGGGCACATCAAATTCCAATAAACTCAAAGACGCAAAAAATTCATTAGTTCAGGAAACTGATGACACTGGACCAAAACTAAGCCTCGGCACGGTTCTCAATACGACTGGCTTCGGTTTGATTCAACAGCACAATTTCGCTGATAATGAAAATACCAAAGGTACACACATTTAAATCACTTGTTCTCTTGTTTTTATTAAATTGCAATATTTTTCTTCGGCCTTCTTTTTCCCATTTAGATGACGACTTATTGTGTGATTCCGTATCGAAAGATGCGTGTTCCGATGATATGGAATTGGAGGAGATAGTGACATCGACCGAACAAATGGCCAGAGAAAAAGAGCGCAAAGAAAAAGAGGAGAAAGAAAAGGCGGAAAAAACACAATCGCCGGGTGATAAATCGGCTACGCCAAATTTGAATGCGTGGCTCAAGGCATTTGGAGTGCCGAAAAAGCAGAAAAAATCCGAAGAAGAAGAATCGAAAAAGTTGGACAAAAGCAGCAAAGAATCACCACAGAATTCGAATCCACACAGCGCCAATTCACCGAGCATCTCAAACGAACCAATTACGTTGCCTGCGGCTCGAACGCGTAAGGCCAGTACGGGAAGTACAATATCGGAACGTTCTTCGTACAGTCAAGATCCCGATAGCCCACGAATCGGAATTGACGAGCGCATTTGTGGTTCATATCCGGCTCCATATCCATCACCATTGGGTACATCACCCATTATGACATCGCCAAAAGACGACACACAAACACAAACCGAACCCACATCACCGTATTCATCGATGAATGGATCGATGCGTGTCGGTTTCTATCAGGATACTACCACAAAGAGTAGCCCGGAAAAGAGTTGTAGCCCACGCGAACAATCGTCTGCTTCACCGTACTCGAATTATGCACAACATTTGTATGTGTCGACAACGACATCGGGCAGTTCGAATTCGTACGGCAACATGTCGTACACATCGCCGGTGAAAGTGAATCAAAATGCACCGTTGGGCTTCAACAATAAGAAGCAACCATCGTATTTTGATCAATACAAACAGCCAAAATCTCAAGATTCCGATTACAATTCGTCGGTCGGATCGAATCCAGCATCGCCTTATCAGAGCCAACATTCACCTTATCAATCTGAAAACTCCCCATATCAACAGTCACAGACATCGCCTTATGCGCAACAGCCCAATTCGATACAATCGAATGTGTCGTCGCCTTATCAAAACCAGCAATCTCCATATCAGGATACTAGTATGCAGCAACAGCATTCGCCATACAATCAAAACAGCGCCGGTCAAGATGTGCACGCTCAGCAGCACATAACAAGTATGCCGAAAACATCACCGCAGCCCATTCAGCCGGTGCCACAGCACATAAATCCATCGATGAACACCGTATCACCACCCACACACCAGCAGCAGCAGCAGCAGCAACAGGTGCAGGTGCAACAGCCACTTGAGAACAAAACCGTACCAAATTCAATGCAGCAGTATGGCCTTCAAGCGTATTCAAGTCACTATCCAAACCTTGCCGATCCACCGGCACCAAGTGTGATCAACAGTAGCAGCTCATTGCATGACAAACCAAAACCGGACGATGAACAGCGTGACATTCTAAATTTAGACTATGCAAAACACAACGCGGCAGCAACTAAGTCGAGTCTCAATAACAAACCAACAGATCTCTCACACATCGATCCGCTGAATAAACCTCAGCAGCATGGATACGAGCACAGTATGTTCGAGCCGATGGGTTTCAATAAAAACTACGACATTTCGTCGACAAAAGCGATCGAAATGTTCAATCGGGCGGCCACCATGAGCTTTTCGAAATCATTTCCGACGCCATTGTCGGCGGTCGGTAGTAAAAATGAAAATACGACACCGAGCGGTCTATTGAACACATACCAACCACCGTCGATGCATTCAAACTATTCGCTCTATTCACTCGATAACAAATCAGCAACGCATATCGGTTACAATCCACATGAGAATGACGGCCAAACCAATCAACCGCAATCAATGGTAGTGCATCAGGATAAACACATGTCCGATCCATCACTTGGCCGGCACGGTTTGTATGGCACCATTGATCGAATTGATACCATGTCTTCAATGTCAACGTCAACAATTCCAAATGATAATCGAATGAAACCGAGCGAATTGAACGTACCGACCATTCCACATCGTTACGATGTACCATCTTACGATCCAAATATGCGCATTCATTCATTGGTCGATGATAATTTGAACGGTGGCAATTGCTATTATCCACCGAAAGATCCAAGTACCGCACAAAGTCTTTACGGGAAAAATGTGCTTCCACCGTCACAAACATCTCCATCAAGTCTAAATCCATACAAATTACCGTCGGCTACCGTACAACCACCACCACAACCGCAACCGCAACCCGTTGAAACGAAACCGAAGCGAACGCGTAAAAAGAAAAACGCCGAACCGGCACCGGTTCCCGTGCAAACGCAACCAATTCCACCACCACAAGCGCCTGTGATCAACAATCATCAAATGATGCAACAGCATAATTTAGGCTGGAACACCATTGACACAAGCAACAGCCATCCGAACGCATCAAATCAAATACCACCACAGCAAAGCCAAACACATCCATCACTTCTCAATCAGCAACATTCACAGCACCCATTGCAAGCACCACCCACACAAGGTGCGTTTGGAGAGAAAAATATTATGACAACTCGTTCTTTTGAATAAAATCGTGATTTTTCTTTTTCGTCTTCTTCCTTTCGACCTTTTTTTTCTCGAATTTATCGTTAACTGCCACTAAATTTACTACCAATAAACTGCCACGATTAACCATCATTGTTTGCTATTGAATTTCAGGTTTTCAATCGTATGCTGGTCTTAAGCCATCTGTTCAAACGGGTCTGGTAAAAAATACACCACCGCCCGAAGCAACACCGATCTCGCTCAAAACGAACAGCATCGTTCCGGGCAGTGCATTCAATTTTGGACCGACGAGCAGTGGCTCACTGGCGCTCGGTGGCATTTATGGCGAAAATACTCCATACTTAGATGAGTACCGTGCCTCAGCTAATCCATATTATCTGCCGCCACAGACACATCGAACGACGGCGCAGCCCGAACAAAACACCGATAATACTGGCGTTCCATCGGCTGCTGGATCAGCGTAAGTGAAAAGGATTTAAAAAAAAATCGAGAAGAAAACAAAAAAGTTTAATTTTTTTTTTTTTTTTTTAATTGAAAAAAAAAAGTACAAAATGCAATGAAACATTATTTTAAACTAAATTTTACTTTAAAAAAAAATTACAAATTAAATGAAACAAAAAAATATTGTGATTTCCAGGGGTTATGTGGCTGCAACGCGTGGAGCAACATCACCAGCACCAACATATCATCAATTTTTACCGCATCATCCGTACACAAATTCCCAAATTTATCAACAATATCTACGCACAGAGGAGTATCGTCAGCGTATGATGTTTGCGAATCAAGGTTTGTTGCCACACAGTGCACCAACTGGTTATCCACAGCCCAGCTATCATCCGGCACTTGGCATGCATAAGCCATATGGATGGTAATAAAAAAATTCGACAAAAAATCAAATTCATACTCTCACACCCACACAAATACACATTTTCACAAAAGGTATTGTTAAAATAGCTAACACTAAAACAACAACATTTACAAAAAAAAATAGTGAAGAACAACAACAACAAAACATACAAATAGCCATACATCATGGTTTCAATAAATGTAAAAAAAAACACACAATTGGAATAATAATAATCGTAGAACTTAAATGACAATGAAGTAAAATATATATTTAAATATATATTATATATAACACAAGTCTCCCGACCAAGAAAAACTAAATATTATTGCAACTGATAAAAAAATGAAATGAAAGAAAGAAAAAAGGAAATTATGTTAAAAACACAACATAGAATTTAGTTTAGATTAATTGAGATGTGGAACAATATTTCCATAAAAAAAAGAGGAGGAACAAGAAAAAAAATACAAACAATTTCGGAGAAAAATCAATTTAGTGATTAGAGAGAATAAAAAAAAAACCACATAAACAAACACACTCACTCTACTCACTCACTCACTCAACATTTTTTTTCACACCCACATTAAACAAAATGAGCTAAGTGAATTATTACAATTTTTATATAGTGTGAAAAAAAAAAATCTAAAATTGATAATATCCTTAAAAGATGATGAAAAAAAAATGTTTTACCTAATTTAAATGTGTTCTCAAAAACATCTGATTGACAGAAGGAAGTAAAAGAAATGAAAAAAAAATTGTTTTAAACAATAAATTTAATTATTATATGTGAATAATTATTTATCATAACAAAAAAGAATAGTAAACCTAAAGAAGAATGAAAAAAGCAGCAGCAGCAGCAACTAAACAAAACCAAGCACACAAATATGCAGCTCGAGTGTGATGTATCGAGATAAGTCAATCACGGTGCATCAAAGACCGGCTGTTGTAGAATCAACGTACCAAAATCAATCAGCGGCATTTCTGTTTCATTTGTCTTTAAAGAAAAATGTGTTTTTTTTTTTTATATAAATTTAACAATTATACTCTGTTAGTTGGAGTAGAATTTTAGAGAGAATCTTGTATGGTAATTTAGAGAGCAAAACGTGCTGCATAGAATTGAGAGTATATTGTATAAGAGAACAAAGTGCATCATTCATTGTACATTTTTTTTTTCTGTGCCACATTGTTTGGCGAATGTATCCAAAAAAAAAGAAGGAGAAGAAGTAAGAAAGAAGAAAGAGAGCAGAGAAACCGAAGCACATTTATGAGATAAGCGACGCAAGAAATGATTTAGTTGAAATTTATGTTGTCTCTTTTTATTTTCTCTTGTTTTATTATTATTATTAATAATATATTATATTATCATATTTTTCGTCTCATCCTGAAATATGAATCATATTTTTTTTCCGTTTTTTTTCTCTTTCTTCTCTTTCTCTTTTGCTCGACAAATTGTTAGTTCAATTCAAAGGTTTTAAGATATTATTAAATGATTAATAAAAATGCGGACGCAGCAAAATGATCGTAAATGAATACATTTGTTTGATCTTTCGATTACAATCTTGTACTGGTTTATATTATTTCCTTGGAAAATGGATTACGAACAAAAACGGCGGGAATTTCAATGGCAGATAATTGGTTCCATGTGTACGCTGTTGGTACCATCAACAAAACTAGCCGCGATGCAAACGTTATTAGATTATTGTGGTGAGTATGCGAGAGAAAAAAAAAACATGAATCAACTGTCAAATCAAACCAATACACGTGCAAACACAACATTGATCCGACATACGTATGTGTCTGGATGTGTGTATGTGATTGTGAGTGAGTAATAGATGCGACATAGACATTTTCCTATGAATTAGTATGATGGATGTGTGTGTATGTGTGTCAGTTGTATAGCACACACATAGAGAGTTACTGGCGAAAAGCACGTGAAACGCGATATGCCGTAGCTTGCGTTCGACAATGAATGAACGAATGAACGGGTGAATAAATAGACAGTAACAATCCGAAAAAGATATTATTGTAGTTGGTTTGGAGCTCAGTCGTTCAGCGGTAATTAACGATGACTACAACACTGTAGTTCCATTTGACATACACAATTTTGCCATCGCTGACACTTTCAAGTGGCAGAGTTACGTTTTTTATTTTTTTTTTAACTTTAGTTTATTCTCTTTTATTTTTCTTCTTTTCATTGTCTATCTATTTGTTGATAAAATCAGCCACTTTGCACCTGTGTTTGTTGCAGCGTGTGTGAGAGCGATTTAACCAATTGCATTAAAAAAAAACTGCTTCCTTCAGTGTTGTTTACCGTCGTCTTCGTCGTCGTCGTCGTCATCTTTGTCTCAAATTCGCATAAGTAAAAAAAAAAAATTCGTTTGTCATAATTGTCAACGAGTTGAATTCGATTTGGAATTGAATGAAACAGTTTGTGCATCAAATAACGCATACGAATTGTGTCGAGTCAACATATACTAAAAGAAAAAAAGAAATAATGTGGACATTCATCAACATTGAATTCGGCTCAAGCTTTTGATTTGGTATGGTTAATGTTGCCAAGGCGACCAAAAAGACAAAAAGAAAAAAAAAATTAGCACTCAAGTTCCAATACATCAACGAGCAACGCAGCAATTCAATTGATTTTAAATTGCTTTGATTGGACATTAATACTGATAAGCAGATTTCCTCCGGAAAGAGAAACGCCGCAAATTAATTTCGATACAGACGACGCATATTTCGGACAATAAACGTGGTATTTGTCTTTTAATCTCGTTTGAATTGCGCGCAACGAAGCCACACTTCAACAATGGGCATCAACATCGATTTTAAATTACTGCCTATGAAAGTACACTACTTTCTGTTTAATGCAGGTAAGAAAAGAAAAGAAAAGAACGCTAAATCTGGAGAAGAAAAATCATTCATTCGTCAAAAAACCATCTGATTTCCCACCGATTAAAGTTTTATCTACTTTTTTCTATGGAATCTAATAATATCATGTTATCTACGATAGTGCGACATAAATTGTGATGTTCTCAATTTATTGTTTCAATTGATGAGACACGGAGAGCAATTAGCACGCAAATCACCTCGAATGAATGATTTCCTGCACTAATTCCATGTTTTCGTTTCAATGAAAAAAAAAAAATTATCATTATTAGGTACCGGAGCTGTGATACCGTTTATGCCAGTATTTGCGCGTCAATTGGGCTTTTCAACGTTCGTTGTTGGCATCATCTATTACATACTGCCGATTTTGGGTCTAATCAGTAAGCCATTGTTTGGTGCAATTGCCGATCGGTGTGTTATCACGTGCAAATAAACACAGAATGAATGAAATATAATATTGAAACCCTTTTTCACCAATCCATTCTAGGTATCAGCGTCATAAATTGATGTTCGTAATCTTTATATTTCTTACCGTTGGCGCATTTACATCTGTAAAATTTATTCCACCAATATTGAAATCAACAAAAGTCGATTATCATTGCAATGATGGCATGGCCGATCTCAAGTATTGTCCTACTTCAATAGACCATTGCGCTGCCGATTTATTCATAAACAATATCAACCAAACCACAACCAAAGAGTATACATTCGATGTGAGATTTGTTTTTCCATTTTATTTTTTTTCTCTCTAAACTATTTTCGCGGAACTTTCTTCCATGAATCGCTTTTTTATCTGTAAACCTATGAATATTTTAGCTAAGATGTGAAGTAAAAGAGGATTGGATGTGGGAACTCATTTGTAAGGAATGGGAAAATAGTACAACCGATTGTATACGTGACGAAATCAATACAATTCATCTGAAATCATTGGTCAAGCATGATCACATCAATAAATTGAAGGATAATGGCACCGATTGCCTGTTTTTCGTACGCACAAATACCACCTATATAAACGGTAAAACCGATCCCAAAAGTGTCATCTGCCCAAAGACGACTAATTTTCCACATAAAGGCTCATTTCGATTGACCTGCACCGGAAGCGTTGACAATGCAGATGTAATGGATTTGATCGTTGAACAATCGGTCAACGATAACAATTACACATCGTATCCACAGTTTTGGTACTTTTTTGGAGCGTTAGCTGTGAGCTGGATTGGAATGGCGGTGGTTGTTAGTGTTGGTGATGCAATTTGTTTCCATTTACTTGGCAAACGTCATGAATTGTATGGCCATCAACGATTATGGGGCGCCATTGGATTCGGTACATTTACATTGATAGCCGGCGTTTGGGTGGACTATGCATCCGGGCAGAAGACATACAAAAATTATACTGTGATTTTTTATTTAATGGCAGCAGCATTAGTGCCCAATACCATAGTTTCCACATGTCTTGAGGTAAGTTGAGTGCGATAGTTTTTTTTTTTTGTTGCAATGATTTTTAAATAATCTTCGACATTAAAAACGCCCACTTTTAGTTCAAACCAAACAAAATCTCATCCAGTATTATTCGAGACATCGGGAAATTATTTCGGTCAGCAAGAGTTGTTGTGTTCTTCCTGTGGTGCGTCGTATGTGGCATGTGCACCGGTGTCATATGGAACTTTCTGTTTTGGTTTTTGGAAGATTTGGCCGAACAACATGGAGAGTAAGTTCCAATTTTCATTATTTTCAAGCTTAGAAAAATTCTCCAATTTTTCCCATTTAATTTGAAAATTTTGAAAAAATGAGGTTTCAATAATTGAAAAAGTTGAAGAAAAAAAACCATAGTTTTCTGACGAATTTTTCTTGTAATTTCTCCGTCAAATAGTTGCAACGGTGAAGGAAAGATAAAAACATTGCAAGGGCTTGTGAGTATTGTTCAAAGTTTTGGTGGTGAGCTTCCATTTTTCTTCATCTCTGGTTGGTTCATAACCAAACTTGGCCATATCAATTCGATGACATTGGTGCTATTTGTGATGGGCATACGTTTATGTTTATATTCATTTTTGACAAACCCATGGTGGGTGCTACCGATTGAGTTGACTCAAGGAATGACATTTGGTATATGCTATACCGCCATGGCAATGTATGCTAATGTTGTTGCGCCCAACGGAACCGCAGCTACACTACAGGTAAGTTAAACCCACAATTGAACACTCACAATGCAAACAACCCATGCATTAATTGGATAATTTTGTGGTTTTCACATGAACAGGGTTTAGTTGGTGCTATATTCGAAGGTGTTGGAGTATCAACGGGTTCATTTATCTGTGGCTATTTGATGGACGTGTACACGGGACGAATTGCATTCCGAATATTCGGAGTGTCAGCGATTTGCTTGAGTTTCGTGCATTATTTTGTACAAAAGTTTCTCGACAACTTTGGCACGAAGCATGGTAAGACATTAAATATACTGAAAACTCAGACTCAAACACAAAATGACTCACACATTAACGATGCATTCACTCCAAGCGATACAAATTTAAACAAAACGGAAATGTTCACGCCGAACGTTGAAACATGAGAAGCAAAAAAAAAAAACAGCGAAATCACAATTCAATTCAACATTCACTTTGTTAGTGATACCAAACAAGAAATAAACGAGCACAAATTGTATTTGAACTCAATTGAAAGTGATAAGCCACACCGAATATAGTATTACAAATTCTGGAAAAAAAAAACAAATCATTTTCCATGAACAAACACACACACATACTCAAAATAAAAAGAAGAAAAAACCGGGAAAAATAAAATTTAAATTCACACTCCGATTGCAACATGTGTGCCAAATTTGATAAGAAAATAGGCAACAGAACTTTTAGATGTACAACACAAAAACCAAAAAGGAAGACATACTGGGAATTTACTTCCGAAATGAAATTAAACGTACTTATTTCGAATTTTATACGACTTAGACTTTAGACATTTATGCATTTTTGTAAATTGACGCGGTCGAATAAAATAATTGGATTCGAGCATACATTGAAATGAAATCAATAAAAACCGAAAACGAAACATTCCTTGGTGCTTTGCCCTTCGACTGATTTTTTCTTCCATTTTCATTTTATTTTTCCCAAAACCAAACAACAACAAAATTTACTTTCCCTCTTTTTTCGTTCGAAATTGTCGATTTCTTAAACATTTATTATTACTTATTATTTTCAAAATTATCTTTTTATTTTGGCAAAAATATCATGCAACTTTTTCTTCTTCTTTTTTTATTCTTTTAGATTATCGTTCTGCAGCCAATGCGATACCAAATGACGATTTCCAAATGCTGGAGGATAACGATTTCTATTGAAAGCGAATTGTTGCGAGAAGAAAAATAAAATGAAATGGTGCAAAATATTTTATTTTCCATGGACTGATTTTACAGGGGCATTTATTGTACTTAAGGAAATTCCCACATAGTTTTTTTTCCCTCTCTATCTCCGTGCAAACCATGAAATTGTTTGTTTGATTTCATCGGAATTGTGTATTTCATAGAAGCATGCAATTTCAATTTTATTTAATTTTTTTTTTAAATTTAAAATTGTATATAGCTTTATATAGTTTGTGTTTCACATCGATTGTGAACCAAATAATGTGGTGATGATCTATACAGAATTTCTGTCTCTATTTTTTTTTATCCCTTCTCTCTATCGTTTGTAACATATGTTTCGGTCAATGCAATTTTAGTGAATAAGTTAAATGATGTAAAATGATATCATGAAATGTGTGCTGTAAAACAAACATATACATATATTGGTCTTGTGCCTTTTTTTTCCTCCTCAAATAAATACATGCTCGACATCATATCAATCGAAAATTTAAAATTTCATCTGTGTGTTGTTTGTTTCTTATTGCGTTGCTTGCTTTGGAAAACGTTGTCGGCAATGACCCAGTTATTGACAAATAGCGCCATCTGTCGCACTGTCATCCAAACACATTGGCATGCCAGCTGTCAAACATGTTGTGCGTATGAGTGTTTTTTAGATTAAGAGAAATAACAACGAAACATAAACGTATAAACTTATCGTTTCATTTAAAATCAACTTTGAACTCAACAAAAACATCGACACAAAATTCAATTAATTTGTGATCCACGTGTGACGAAATTGTACAAAAATGCCAAAGGTTGTGTCACGCAGTATCGTATGTTCGGATGTAAAAGATCAACAGGAGTATAATGAGGAGAATCCGCTACACATTTACTACTGTTTGTGTGGTCAAATGACGCTGATTTTAGGTAAGCATAGAGTTTTTCGAAACGATGCAACCGACGCGATTTTGAATGCTATCGATCATTCATTCCCATTTTGTACATTTTCAATTTTCAGATAGTAACATAGAGAAGTTGCCATTGCGTAAAAAAGACGGTGCCAGAGTCATCGATTCCACACATCATGCACACAAAATCACCTGCGAACCAGATGAAACTATCTATGTACGACGCGATGTTGGCATTGAGAAGCAGTACCGATTTAAGGTAATTCATACACATTATTCCGATAAATGACCGGATTTTCAAAGGATGAGTTGAATGAAACACCATTTTTGGTCGTATTTTTTTTGCAGTGTAAAACATGTCATTTGCCCCTATTCTATCGGCACAGTCCAGATAGTAAGGTGACATTCGTTTTGAACCGTGCCGTTGTTCAATCGAAGAATGAGAATCCATTCAAGGCCATCAATGATTTGGCTAATCAGCTATTGGCAACACAAGGACCACGCAAAGTATTGGTGACCAAACACACGAAAAATATGGGCAAATTCAGCTCCGTTACTGTTTCAACCATCGATGAGGAAGAAGATGAAATTGAGGCTGTAAGTTACTTTTGAATCAATTCTAATGCAAACACTACTTATTAGCTATAATCATTCGTTTTGTTCTTCTTTTTTTTTTAAACAGAGAGAAGTGGCAGACAGTTATGCGAACAATGCACGCATCATTGAAAAGCAGCTGAAACGAAAGGGTGGCAAACTCAACGATAATCCAGACTCAAATAACACAACGTTGCAGTCGAAAAAAACACGCGGAACTCTTCTAAATCTTTAACTGCTTTAGCTTTACTTGTACAAAAATAAATCGCTTTTAAACTCTACTCATACGTTCTAGTGGCCTATAGACAATTCTGTATTTTTCAGTCGAATGAATTGATGAATAACAACAAAATTATTTCAATTTCCAAAATAAATCAATATGTTCGTTCATATCTCTCTTTGGCACATCAATTTGATGCGTTTTATTGGGCGTCGCGTAATCGAGTCAATTCGGCGCCAGGGCGGACTATTTCGTCGTCACCGAAATCATATCATTTGCACATTGGATGTGAACGGAGCGAAACGTAAAGCAAAAAATCGGCGAATAGCAACCGCGATATATATTGCATACACTGGATCGAAGAAAATTTGTCATATTTTCAAATAATATATACACATTTTGAGAAATACGTTGTTTTTTTATATTATTTATTTATTGACACCGCCAAATACTGGCTCTTCGTGCATTTATTTAATGAGTCTGCTTAAAATGGTATGAGAGAGATGAGAGAAAAGTCGACCACAATATTTATTTCGGCTTGATTTCTTGTTCGTTAACATAACGCACATAGATGACCGGCTCTGGCACGGGTTCGGGTGGTTTTTCCAATTCATCCAAGTATGAGCATGCAATGGCCAATGTGGTGCCGTCTGAACTAAAGTTTAATGCCGAAATTGATGTGTCATAATGATGGAATTGACACAAACGCTTCTTGTTGAATCCATCCCAAATGTTGACAAAACCATCAGAACCACCTGTCGAAAAAGGGTAAACGGTAAGCATATGTATGACAATGAAAAAAAGTGAACGGAATACTGGAGCTAATCTGAAGCCATGTCAAAGACAAACATGATTCCTTAAATTGGTTACCCACCTGTGGCAAATGTATTGTAAACGCTATGGAAACTGATTGCATTGACTGGATGAATGATTTCGATGTTGTTCTCCTTCGAGCGATGGCATTTAAATGCGAATTTCCGTTTTTGCACCTCTGCATCCAAATCGAAGTACTCAACGGCAACACGTCCTTCAATTGAGCTCATCACAAAGCCATCCTTATTCGGAAAGATGCGAATGCATCGGGTTTGGTATTTGAGTGATGATTCGCGTCGTGTAATAAATTGTTCCATATTTCGTAGATCCCAAATGAGTACCTTACGATCGGATGTGGCCACCACCAATTTTTCATCGATACAATCCATAGAATAGACTTTGCCATTGTTTTGTTCATACGTGCCAACGCATTCCTTCTCTCTGGTATCCCACAGTTTGACTGTTTTATCCCAACTGCCGGTTAAAATGCCATTCACTTTGCTGGCCATTTCAACACATTTGATGGCATCATTATGTGTTCCGATGATGGTGTCCGTGTGTGTATTCAAATCGTAAAATTTCAACGTATTATCCAAACCACCGCTAGCAACATGCACAGCATCCTATTGAATAAAAAATTCCGTAAGACAAGAGTTATAATAACCCGAATTTCACACCGAATGCAATCGCACACCGGTTTCGTCAATTACCTGAAATGTACAATCCAAAACGGGAGCTTCGTGTGAGAATTTTTGTCGCGATGCATTGCTCACGGTATCATACAGACGAACGGTGCAATCCCATGAACTGACCAACAAAAATTGATTGGAATTCGGTGCAAATTTACACGATGAAATCACATCACTCGGCGCATTATTCAGTTGGATTTCATTCTTTTTATCCATTTTGCGAACGTTATGTAGAATTTAATTTAAAAATAAGACAAATATCCACGAATATTTCGTATGAAAACAGTAAAATTGGCAAAACGCGCGTCAAACCTTTTTTCTTTTGTTTGAACTGTTTGTTTGGTTAAAGCAATTTCGGTTGACTTTATTCAAGAATTGAATTGACAGCTTGCCATTTGTATTGCTATGCCGTACTTTGTGATGTGTGGTGAATTTACAGCGTGTTGAAAATAGCAAATGTGTGTTTTTTTTTCGTTATACTTATTTTGAACAAAAAATATCTGAAACTTTTTAAGAATTGGTTTTTTTCTGCGATTTAAATTATTATCCATTAAAATTTATAGAAATTTACTTGATATGTTTTCGATTTGTATTAAATGAATTCAATATATCGATTGTGGAGTGCGTTCGTGTGGTGTAAACCTTTGGAAATTTGAATGACTGAATGATTTTCTGTTGAACGGTGAGCAATGAACAGAAAGTCAAATGTCACATACATATGGAGAATTTGAAATCAACCCCCAATATACGAACCAAATCGAAATACATTGGATGGTATTAAACTTTTGCTGATTTTTCTCTTGTGAATGTTAAATATTTTCCTAAGCTATTCTCAGTTTTCAGAATATTCAATTTTTGAGTCATGGGCGGCATTGTGGTTGTTGTAGTTTTTTGTTTCAATGATTAAATTTTGCGATGGCATCAATTTGTTTTATCTTTAATGGTCCGTTTGACAATGTTCAAGATTATTGATAATCGAACGTGGCCGCTGGTTTTCGATCGAAAATGCATCATTGGTATGCTCGGACATTCGGACATTCGTCCAAGGCATTCCAAACCACTTGCAATATATGCAATATTGAACATGCAGCGAATATGCGATCAAATGTGATAGCAGATATACGGATGGACACACAAACACGCGTACACGGTATATGCATGATGAACGTACGGTATGGTTGGCTTATGATATTTCGCAGATGCAACGCGCGCGCGAGACACCGAAACATATCAGCGAAACGGAAAAAATTGGCGTTTGTGTTTTTGTGTGTCGTATTACTCTACTCCACTCTACTCTCTCACTCTATCTCTTGCCCTTTCACTGAAATCGAATACGACTAAAGCCTATTCCAATATAGCAGCACGGATGAAAATACAATGTACGGTACATATAGTAAGAAGAAAAGGTATGAATAAGAAGGAAGAAAAAAAAAGAACCAAATAAACGCGCATTCATCCAAGCATTTTTTCTCACCCATACAACGGCAACCCCCTTTTATGAAATCGTTTCGACTCATACACGACACACAAACAGCCGATGCGAAACGTGGTCGGAGAAATAAGTGTGTTCGTGTTTTACCGTACGTAAATTTTCGGTGTGTGAATCGCATGTATGTATGGATGGACTGAGGAGAGGATAGTGAAGGGAAACACACAGTTCAGTTAAGCAAAACACAATCGTTTAGAAATTTCGTTTTATAGTCATATTGCGCGCGTACGTCGTGCATACCGAAAAAAAACTATAAATTCTGTATTTTTCCCGTGATTCAGTTTCGATAAAATACAATATAGCAACTGAAAGTGAGAAAGGGAGAGAAAGAGAGAGAGAGAGAGAGAGAGAGAGAAACACAAATCAACGAAATAGAAATTATCAATCACAGTTGGAAAATACCAAATAATTATCATAGCCATCGAAAGATAAAAATTAAAATTCAAGTTTTCGTGATTTCAGTTCTAATTTTTCATTTTTACTCGTTACACATTTTTCTTCCGTGTGCTTTCGGTTTTGCTGCAGAAAAATCTAGGTAGAATATAAAAATCGAGTGCAAACTGTTTTCTGAATTTTATACAATTTGTTTTCCCATGGAATATAAGCGATGTTATAAGGCTGCAAAATAGAGAATCGAATCGAAAAAGAAAAAGTGAAAATTGAGTTTCATTTGTAATCGGTGTCATTGGAGGTGCTCCTGCTGCTGCTGCTCCTGCCGCTGCTTTTGAATTGCATTTCCGTACATATTGTTGAAACAATTGACTTTGTCCCCTTTTACCTGCTTGCAATAATGCTACAACCAAAATAATGGGAAAACGCATAACACAAAATTTTCATGCGGAAATGAAAAAAAAAGCCAACACGACATTGTGCTACAGCAATTCATGCATAATTGCAAATCCAGTCCGTTTGGGGAGTGGATCTGTAATGTTTGTTGTTCAATGCGTGTTTGTCTTCCTGATTTTTTGTTTATGTCATTCAATACACTATGTGCCTTCGGCACTTGTGACTTTTCTCTTGCGCTCTATCAATCATTTATTATCGCGTATTTTTCCATGATTTGATTCCAAATCGGTTGTGGGTCTGCGTTTTGTGTATGTTCCAACTGGTCATTATTGTCGCAAATTTGATTTGCGTTGAATATTCGATTGGTGTGTGCATTGGGTGTATTGAATTTCAAGCGAAATGTAACGCGTTGCCACAAATCCCGCTAAACATCGTGCACACACACACACACACACAGGATACTAGCAGGAGAGAAAAAATGCCATAAACGAAGTGTAATATATTGGATGTGTCACAGATATCAACCCTCTTATTTGTTATTTTGTGCGTCGTCGGGTTTTGCGTGTGTATGCATTTGTGTGTGTGTACCACTGTATAAATGTGAATCGAATCCATAATCGAATTTTGAATATTTGCCCTTTTCACATGGGTGAAGCAAAAGGAAAAACAGCAAAACGAAAAAAAGCCACCGTCTATGGGCTACAACGGGAATAAAAAGGCATACAAACAGAGCAGCAAGAGGGATAGAGAGAGAGAGAGAGAGAGAGAGAGTAATGCCAGAAACCTTACGTCAAAATGCACAACAAACGGAACTGGTGTGGTGGCAAAACGCATTGCATTCAATGTAAAATGAAAGAAACAGAAAAAAATGTACACATTTCGACAAATTGTGACTTATATAATCGGAAGGGCCGAAAAAAATCAAACAATCATCGCATGCAATAACACAAGCACACATACATACATACATCGCATGGAAATGTATCCGCTGAATGCATTCGTTTGAAGTTCAATGGTCATATTACGAAATCGGCCGACAAAAACGAAATAAAAAATAGTTTTTCGATTTCATTGGGGAGGAAAGACGTGCTGCTTGCTTTCCGTATTTCTCTCCCTCTCTCTCTCTCTTTCTCTCTCTCTCTCTCAAAATTCGTTCGTTTATTTGTTCTCGATCTCGTTTCAAAATCTGTTCAATCGAGAAAGTTATCGCACAGGGAATTCAACATCGATTTCTACTATTTCATATTCCATATAGACTTCCAATTGAATCGACTAAAAAAAGAGGCACCAACACGCAAGTGAAATGTGTGCGACCAAACAAACAGAACATTTCATATAAAACAGCAGATACATCAGCGTTGATGTATAGCCACTCCATTTGACATTTGATCTCAATACATGGTTGACGAAAAAAAAAACAAATAAAATAATAAAAAAATAGAGCCGAGTGTCTCGGTATGGCTCACTGCCAAGAAATGGGTAATTAAGTACAAAAACAGACATGACCGCCCCAAATCCTCGCTGAGTGTACACTACTTACTCACTCTCCCTCTCGATTAATTGTACGAAGGGCTGTTGATGAACGAACGAAGAATTGAGAAGAAAAAAACGCACACACGGTCAAAACGAGTGCAATTCGGACAAAGGTACAGAAATTTACCAATATTTAGCACGTTGGAAAAATGTTTATGACTTGGAATCATCACAGCAAGCAGTGGCAGCAGCATCATCAACAGCACACCATTTCCAAGTAACAATGACACTCGCGACAAAAAGCTCTTTTCGCCGTTGAAAATGTGTGTGACCGATTTCAATTTAGATGTGCAAGCAGCACCCGCGTGAACCAACCAAACCATTCCAAACCAATCACCACCATTCAAATGGGAAATGAGCCAAGAATTTATATTTCTCTATTTTCTTTTTCCCGCAAAACAAAAAATAGGCTTTATGCATTTCGGTTTAAGTCGATTTGCGAGACGAAGTTTCCAAAGCCAGCAGAAATTACTACAATGATGATGACGAGTACGACGGCGACGGCGACGGCGATGACGACGACAACGACGACAACGACGACAAAAACCAATAGTAAAGTGCATAGTTGAATAGCATGTTGTAATGTTGTAGCAGTAACTTAGTGACAAAAGCAACAAAAAAAGTAGTGAAAAGAATAAGAAGAAGAAGAAGAAGAAGAAAAGAAAAGATATCATTATATAAGTGGAATAGAGATAACAAGAAACCGAAGAAGAATAAGAAGAAGGAGAAATCGTTCATGTTGTTGTGAATGGGTATTTTAATGAGTGTTTTTGCCGATGATTAACGTGAATTTGGCATAATAAGCGGAAAGATTAAAGGGAGGAATATATATCCACGCGACGACAGAACGTGCCGAATACAATAAATCACAAATGGGTAACATAAAGAGAACTTTATTTTTGCATTCCTGTTTTTCTTTCTTTCTTTCATTTTCGTCACACACGATTTTGTGATCTTTTTTGTCATCATTAGAACGGATGAGATGAATGAGTGTGAAAAAAAGGAAGAAAGTGATAAAGAACAAGTGTGTATGTCTGTGTCTGTATGTGTATATATAAGAGAAACACGTTTAGTTTTTCCTTTGTGCTTTGAATTCTAACGAGAAAAGTGCTCTCAAATGCTTATTTTTCAATAGACTGTCATCATTTATATTCTTGTTTGAAAAAAAAATCGCATTTCAGTTAGTTTCTCAGTGATTAACACCAAACAGTTGACGCACAATATGGTCACACGATGAAACGTGCATGAAACAAGATAGACAGATTGTGCGAGTGAGTGAGGGAGTGAGGCTGAAAGAAGAAACCTGACATGTCATGGTACGGTATGATACACGGATAGAATATGGCTATGAAAGAATTGCACAATCGTTGCAACGAAGAAAGCAAGCAGGCAGAAGTTTTAAGAATGAGCGAAAGATAGATAGAAAGAAGGGAAAGGAGTGAGAAAATGCAAATTGGTGTACTTCATAAAATGTAACCCTTATACAGGCGGCAAATATTCGCAATGGAACGAGAAACTGAGTTATAACAATCTCTCAAGTGGATGGTACAATGATGACGTTGATAAAAATGCGAATTCATTCAGCTTTGAAATGTGTGCACCTTTATTTTCACACTCTCACTCGTTCCCCTGCTTTCGATGCGATGCGCGATGGATAACAACAATAGCACCGAACGCAATGCTCGTTCGCGAAATTATGATGAAACATAGCAAATAACATGTGAAAATACAATTGACACCTGTATGTGAGTGTGTGTGAGATGATAATGTTGACTTGTTGTTTGTGTGTTTTTGATTGATTTATGCATTTTCATCCATGTGGCATATGCCAATTTTATTTCAGACTTGATTAATTGGAAATGGCTTTTTGCCGAGCGATGTAATTTTGTTATATGACCTAAATATCTCGTGCATTCGGGGGAGGGGGCGATGCTCCATTGAAACTGCATCTCATTGACAGAGAGTAGGCGCAAGAATGCGATGAGAGAGACACAATTCGCTTGAAGTAAGTAACAGAGCTGATTGTGTGATATGAATAGCTTTTCACACGCATACGGAATAAATGAAAAGGGATGCAAAGGTAAAAAAAATCATGTCAGGTTGAAATACTATGATTTCGGTATTGTACACCATCATCGATTCCGTAGAACTTTGCATTGATTCCTCTTTCTCTTTCTCTCTCTCACTCTCTTCCCATTTTTCAACCATCATATTTTTGTGTATTTTTCCCCGTTGTGTTCATTATAATTCTTGCTCGTACTATTCGCCGTTCTATTTCCCTTTTCTTTTCTGCTTTTTTTTTATATTTTTTACTGCATATTTTCGGTTCATTGCTGTGTGTATGGAATGCGTTTCTATCTGCTGCCGAACGAGCTAGTGAGTGTGTGTATGTATGTATGTGTGTTTGTGGTGTACGATGAGGCTTTTGCATGCATTGCCTTTTCACGTTCTAGCGCGCGCCTCTGTCGATGTAGTTACAAATAAGTACGCGTTTCACAGTTGTTTGGCATACACACACACGGGCAACGGCTTAGTGGCAGTAATTGTGGGGTAGCGATTGTACTACTGTTATTTTCCATGACATTGCACGCGCTACCTCACTTGAAACTCGCTGATGGTGGTGGTGGTGGTGGTGGTGGTGGTGGTGGTGGTGGTATTTGTATGTATGGTGTCTGTGGCGTCGCGAGCGCTTTCTTTCTCTTTCCACCAAATGGAAGTGTAAGCGGACATATGTTCACCGTTCACAACAATACCAACAAGCAAAAATCGGATTGAGGAACGGCAGCAGCAGTAGAAAAATCACCACGACAAATGATTTTGTGTAGACTTTCCTCCTTTGGATAGAGGGAATAAAAATCGACAAAAGTCGAGACACAGCCCAATCGGTTGGGCCGACATACACAATGGCCACAATTTAATTGTGCTGTGTGTGCTATAGGCGTAAAATATTCCAATTGGAATTCCCGACACTGGCTCCAATTCATTGTTTGAACAATAAAATGCTTTTGTCATTTTAGTTTCTTCTGTGTTGGTTAGTCATTTGGTGCCAGCATGAGAACTAAAGCGAGCGAGAAGCAGAGCAGAACGAAACGGGAAAAAAATATTGCCTGTATCAATCGGTTGTCTTTTTCGATTGACACAGATTGCCATATGTTTCCTGTGGATGCGTTTGAAAGAGAAGAACAAAAAAATAACAGAGTTTTGTGTTGAAGGATAAATTGAAACTGTGTCATCACACTTTTTGTGTGGCCGCACTCACTGGATTGTCGTATGCATTAGAAAAGTCATGATCAGGACGACAGGACAGAGACGGCGGCAAGAATTACCACACTCACACACACACACACACACACACACAAACACACATGAGAGCATACGGAGAGCGAAAAGCTGTTTTTCCTTTTGCATACACACAGCCGCAATCAATTGTGACACAATCTCACCAAAATACACAAAGCAACACATTTGCCAACCACCACCATGACTACCACCACAAATACAGTTGCATGGCCGCGCACACCAATACATACACACATACACACACAAAACACACCACAAAATCGAATGCACGTCAACTGTCAATATTTCGAATTGGTATGCGTGTATCTGTGTGTATTGTTCGGCTGTTCTTCCGCGACATTAAATCACCACCGATAGATTTTGTATATGTTTATTCAGAATACGCGCATAGCATTTCGCTCTCTTTCTTCCTCGTCATCATTTTCTTGCCTTTTCCATTCTTTCGCCTGATTTTCGTACTATTCATTCGAGCAGTTTGCCTGCTCACATACTCTCGTATTTGCCATTTCCCATTACAACATTCGTGCGGCATTTTATCTGTAGCCTCTCTTTCACTCTTTTATTGTTGAACGGAAACGAAAATACGAGCGAACGAAAGAAAAAAAAACGACAGACCTTAAATAGATAGGATAGATATTTTATTGTTAGACGTTTTGTCTTTTGGGTAGTTTTTCGTTATTGTTGTTGTCGTTGTTATTTTGTTTCAGTTCTCAATGCAATTTCATAATAGAAAATAGATTAGTGTTATTATTTCTTCAATTTTTCGTGCTTTTTCTTCAACTCGTACTTCGATTTTCGTTACGAATTTTTCGAAAAGCGGAAAAGAATTGTGCCCATCCGGCACAAGTTTAGTTTGGTCGGACTAAGTAACGGAATATATGTGTTTGTGATTTAAACCAAAAACAACAACAACAACAAGAAATATGATAGAAGGGAAAAACAAGAACAGAGCCGACACATAGCAAGGGAAGAAAAATGGATCGAACGAAAACATATAGCAAATTATTTTTATAAAATCGAACAAACGCATAAAATACGGAAACACATATGGTTTTTCTGCAAGCCAGCTTTGGTGTGATTAGTGCATTAATTCCGATTGAGTTGACACATTCAATACGTTTTCAGTTCGCTCTTTGCCGGAAACCAAAAGAAAAAAAAATCAAGCACACCAACAACATTCCGAAATCTGAGAAATAAATAGATAGATAGATAGATAGATAGATAGAGAGTTAATGTGCGTGTGAAAGAGAGATAGAAAAGAGAAAGACCACATGTCAAAATTGTTCCCACATTCGACGAAAGGTAATGGAATAAAAAAAAACATACCAATTTTCCCAATAGCCACACACACACACACATACACACCATTTGATCCATTTGAACAAGAGAGTGAGTGAGATTTTCCACGATATGACTATAGTTCGCGCTGCAATATAACCGACCAACTTTTTGATAATTTTTTTTCTTCTGCCCCCCGTTCATGTATTCTTCTTTTTTTCTCGTTTATTATCGATTTTCCATATGAATAAATTTCCATCACAAAATATGTGGTACAAAATATGAAAAAAACAACAACAACAACAACAAAACAGAAAACAAAAGCCGAAAAAAAGACAACGAATTAATCGAATGCAGTTTATATGAATGCGTGTGTTTGTGTGTGTGTGTATTTTGTTGCGCCTACGGATGCACCATGCACGTTTCATTGAATTTGAACGAACCTCCGTTCGGAAAGATAGATCGAATGATGCATTTAGTTGATAGCATCCGATAATGCAATCATATGCAAGCAACGGATTTTTTTTCTTATGTGTTTATGTGCATAATTAATTTTAGTTTGGTTTGAATTCACCTTTTTCCATGCGCTCATCTCAAGCTCTCTCACATGTGAATCAAGTGAATAAATTTTGTTCAATATTATTTTCATTATCAACCATTTCCACCATTTATGGAAGTAACAACAGGCTGAGGCTGATGATTTAATTTTCTATTTTCATCAACTTCTTTCGTTTGACAGTTTGGCTGCGATAAACGGCATGGTTAATATGGAGAAAAGCGAAGACCAGGATAGAAAGATTGTTTTAGAATTTTGCCATTTGCTTGAAAAATCGAAGCAACTGTTCAATGGACTCAGGTATGTGTGTTCCGATGCATAATTTGCACATGCCTATGATAAAGCTATTAATCCAAATTGGATGTGTGTATTACATGGATCAATATCAATTGTTGTTCATTTGATTTTCATTTGCTTTGCAGAGATCTACCGCAATATGGTCATCGTCAATGGCAAGCATATTTTGGCCGAACATTCGATGTGTACACAAAATTGTGGAAATTTCAACAGCAACATCGGCTGGTGCTTGATTCAAAATATGGCCTGAAGCGATGGCAAATCGGCGAAATTGCTAGTAAAATAGGACAATTATATTATCATTATTAGTGAGTGTGATTGACATTTTCCTTCAAATATGTTTCCATCTCCTACATTCGAATATACTACACATACACAGAGAGATATATATACACGAGCATGCCCATATGTTGATATTTAATTAATTCCCATTTTTCTGCTTCGATTTCTTTCCATTTTCATCTATTTCCTCGTGCGATGCCGACACCGACACCCATTCGCCAACAGTTTAAGAACCAGTGAAACAAATTATCTTAACGAAGCTTATCAATTTTATGCGGCGATCCGGGGTAGAGCTTATTATTCGCGCGCCATCAAAGAAGATCGACCCGATTTAATGGTGAAAAAGCTACGATATTATGCCAGATTCATTGTTGTTTGTCTGCTACTCAAAAAAATGAAATTAGTTCGTGAACTCATTATTGAATTGGAGAAACAAATACAGGAATACACAACTACGTAAGCGAATATTGTGCACTTTGTTTAAAAATTTGTGTCACAGATATATTTATCATCATTTTAACGCCCGCATTTCCTACACCCAAATATACATTCTAGATATGAACCTGAGGATCAGCTGGAATGGTCACTTGTTTTAGAAGAAATAAAAGGGTTCATCAAGGCCGAAGCGGCTGTTGCTGTTTTGCACGCCGATTCAAATCCAATAGTATTATCGTACAGGTAAAACCAAGTCATTCCGATTGAATGGCTCAGTGGGCTGTAAACAGCCCGTGCTTTCGATACCGATTGGCATTGAAACGCTTCTAAATGAAAGTGGCAAAGAAAATTTTATTTGACAAAAAAAGAAACACCAACCGAAAAGGGGTAAAAAATAGAACAATTTTCAACATTTTCGATTCAAAATCAAATTCAAATTCAAAAGACAATCGAAAAAAAAATTGGAAACAGAACAAAATATTTTAAAAAAAAAGAAACAGTCACACAGCCGCATGGAAAAATCGCACATTTGCTCGCATATTCGTGTGCATTGTGCAAGCACAAACACACCTTTTCGTTTCAATCAATGTGATTGGCTTCTTTCTTCACTTTGAACACATGTTTTCCGTTTTTCTTTGGCCGCTAAACTTTTTTCAGTTCGATAACAAAAGAATAAACAAATTCAAATTAGAAGCTTTATGTTGGTGATTGGTCTCGAATTCGATTTCGTAATTTTACCATTTTGTTGGCTAAGCCATTATTATATGCATAAATATTGATATAATCCCCCCTTTTCACTCGCATTTTGATATAATTTTTCAAAAATTCGCATATACATACATATATACCCACAAATATTTGATAAGAATAAATAGTGCATGTTTATCCATTCTCATGTTTATTTCTTTTTAAATCATATTCATAAAATGTCTCGTGTATCGTCCATCCCATTCATATCGTAATTGTCATTGTAATGAGAACAATTTTTCCATTTCAATCCATTCTATTCCGTTTCCTAATCTCATTTGAAATGAAAAAAAAAAAACAATCACGAACAACACTCATACTCATTTCCCCTCAGATCAGAAAAAAACAACAACATAAAACCATTCCATCAAACGCATTTACATTATACAAAAAACACCATCACACACATACACACATACACACCACATTCGATCCATTTGAACAGTATCATTCGAAAGCACGGGTCATTTTCTTGCTATCATAATTAGAATTGTATAACTTCACCATTAACGTGTAGTGGGTCTGGTTCTAGATTAAGCCCGCTGACAACGCCGCCATGCGAACGATCGCCGCACATGACATTGAGCCTACAGGAAATCATAATCGTTGGTTCGGCTTGCGAACAAGCGAAATTCTCCGAACTCACCATGGACATGTTTCGAATGGTCCAAACACTGGAACGTGAACCAAGCGAATCGAATCATATGCATGGTGTTGGCATTGGCATTGGCCTTGGCATTGGCATTGGCGGCGGTATGCATCATGGTATCGGCTATATACCACCCGGTGTAGTGGTCGCACCGCATGATTCAAGTCCAGCCACAAAAATGCCATACACCGATCAATGCTCAAAGGGATTTTTAGAGAACGGCGAAAAGCGCCATTTTCGTGACAATCCACACAAATATCTGCTGTATAAGCCATCAATAAGCCAGTTGCTAGTGTTTTTGAGCAGTGGCTTCAAGGAACTACCTCCTGGTGGTGCATTGCTCCTCTATATGTCAGCTGATGGATGCTTTTCAACCACACAACATCCGGAAGATTGTAAGTATCCGATTCAAGCGGCAAATTTCATCGTAGCTTTGAATCATTCGCCTTTTTCTTGGTTTTATCATTATGGTCTTTGTTGTTGTTATTACGTTGCGTTAAACCATTTCGTTATTTTTCATCTTTGGACCAACCTGTTGCTTCTTCATCACTCACTGTTTGATTAATGAATGCGCTGCTTGTTTGATTTGTATGCACAGATGGATACGAATTGGGTGGCTTGAGTACGAGCGTCAAACGAGATGGAATGGACAGTGGCATTGCATGCCGTGGCGGAAAGGGCAACGGCTACAAAGAGCCACATTGCCTTTATCCCGGCGATTTGTATCCATTCACGCGGCGGCCCCTCTTTATCATCATTGACTCAGACAATTCGTTCGTCTTTCAACACGTACCAAGGTAACATTGTCACTGACACATAATTCTTTCCATATGGAATATTTTACAATCCAATATTGATATGCTTGATTGCTTCTGATAATTGCAGATATTTCGGGCAACCGCTGGTGATTTTGATGTCACCTCAAGATGTGCCGACTTCATTCCAAGATTATCAACACCATGGTTCCTTATTTACGTTATTTTTGCATTCACCATTGACTGCGGTTTGTTACATTTGCAATGTGGGCGATGTTCCGATTCATCATTGGGAACGATGTCAAGGGTATATAGAAAAATTCGTCACAGAAGCATCGTGTTTAGTAACAAGATGTCGTGTAGAGGATGTAGGAAAGGGTCGTGATTATATAGGTATAAATTGAAGAAAAAAAAACGAACAAATTTGATCGTCGAAAATATTTGAATAGTATTTCGAATGAAAACAAAGTTCATTTAGCATTTACTAATCGATTTGGTTTCGTTTTTTATTCCAGATTCCGCTTATTTACAATTTTTCGGTGATGATTTTTTGCGTACGATACTATTGCGTTATATATTTTGCGATGTAGTACTGCGTACGCATATGTCATTTCGTGGACGTCATCAGCGGCCGAGATGTGAACCACCATTACCAGCTGTTGATCTGTTGGAGCATCCATCGTTAGCGCATATTGTGTTTCAGCTGGCGTCCGCCTTAGATGTACGAGATCAATTCCACGAAGGTGCGACCGAACTTGAATGATTCAGTCGGATTGGATACATTCAAATCGATTGCGTTGTGGTGTTTGCAATCGAATATTAGCTTATTAATTTTCAACGTATGGGACGTACGCTATATTCCGCTCATGTTTGCTTCAGTTCAGTCAGTGAGTGCAGGTGTTATATTCATTTTGATTAGACACATACAAAGATATGCTCATATCACAAAAGTGTAAAACACCCGGGGAAAAAAAACCCTCCCAAACTAGGATTATCATTTATGCAATTTAATTGTTAACTAATTTGGTTTTTCCTATCAAACGTAAACCTTTCGATAAGGTTACGAAGTGAACAAAAGCTCAACAAAAAAAAAACAAATACGAAAAAATGAAAAGTTCCATACCGACTAAGTTCCGAACGCTCAGACATCATGCGAATTCGGGCAGATTTCTCTTTTTGATTGACAAAATATAGCAAAGCCAAAATCGTGATTAATATTTCCGACTGTTTGGACAGAGAGATAGGAACGCAAAATTGCGCAACAAAAGCGGCATTCTTAGATCACAAATGGCAGTCCCATTGACTGGCTCTACTTCTAAGAATACTCTTGAAACTTTTATACGCGGCTAGGTTTTAAGCTAAAACTAATTACCGAACAAATTCGAACTACTAGACAACTAAAGCAACAAGAACAACAACAACACACATACACACTCGAAAGAAAATAACCGATAAAAGCTTTCTTGGACCTACAAACTAACCAAAAATTAACGTCATCTTTGAAAAGGCATTTTATATGAAGAACATATTTAAGATTCTAGCAAATTTTTTACATTTATTTTTAGTTTTCCTCAAAGTCTTAATACCAATACCGACAACACAAGAACACAACAAGAAGGATACTCATAGAATACACAATGTATACCGGTTTATTTTCGGATAATAAACTGTTCTTCATCCCTTTCTCTTCCTTTCATCTTTTTTCCATTTTTATCATCTCAAATCAACATATTTTGACTTAAACGGTTTGGTACCGAACCCAAGTAAAACACAATATGAAAATGGAGAAAATGAATTTGAGTAGAGAAAAATATCGACAAAATTTGATGAATGGTTTCACATTACGATGGTAATTTTGTTAGATCCACATTGCTCAGGCTCCGCTAAAAATAAATGCCGTTGTATTCACTTTATGACACACTAAAAGCTACACTACTGCTCTTTATGTTTATACTAGCGACCAAAGTATAATGAAACACCGAGTCTCAATTGAAATCATACCCACAGATAGCAACTTCTTACCCAAAGAGCGATTAATGGAGATGATAAAATTGTTCAATTCAAAGTGTTACTCATAAATTGGATCTAGTACGGACTATGCTTTCCCACTCGTCGTTCCAGTGGATTGTGTGTGTGGCGAATATTCGGTTTGAAAACCCAATGCCGTTTGTAAACAAACAAGAAGCTGTCAGCTTTTAAGCGTCCAATTCAAATGTAAATATTGATCGCGCGTAATTCACATTAATACACATAGTAACGAAAAACATAAAAAAAATGTTTCTTCAAACTTTTAAAAAATTTATTCGAAAATCAAAACTGCATTCATAAGATTCTTCTTGAGGCCGCGAGAAACCAAACAGAAAACATTACAATAAAGCTATGAATAAAAAAAAGGGGCAAACACTGGCGACATACACACAGTTTATGTTTATATTCGCATTTTCTGACGAAATTCCGGAACAAAAATTGGTGCAATAATTTCGAGAATAGATCATTTAAACTATCGATGCTAACATATTGAAACAATTTTTCATGATCATGAGAAAATGTCATATCAAATGAATAATTCATTCAAAGCATTTGCGATGGTTTCAATGCGTTTTCTTTTTAGTTTGAAAAAGAAAAAAAAAACTTCAATTCAGTCGCTTTGTTTGTTCTCTCTTATTGAGTTTGAAAATGGTCGTGAAGCGAATGCAATGGCAACCGTTTTAAAGAATAGAATTTTGATTTGATAGAATTATTTTGTTCATTACTGTTGTTGTATATGGTAAACAATCAAAGTCTTTAATGAAATTTTGCTTAATGCCTTGCATTTATTGAAAACCAGTTAGGAATATCGTTTCTGTGCAAAAAAAAACAAATCCGTTTTTGAACAATGTAGGAGATTTTTGTGTGGATGAAACCCTACTGTAGAGACATTACGTTGAAATTTCGAATGTAAGACAGAAAATGAATCTAAAAGAAAGAAACCGTGATTATTTTTTTCTATTTATGAAAGAAAAAACCAGAAAAAAAGAATACACACACGAACTAACCAATTCTCATTACGAACCAAAATGAATTCCTTTCTCCTGCCTAGGCTCTAACCGAAAACAAAACCAAACAAAAAAAAAATCATATAGAAAATATTTAAATTAATAAACAATTTTTAATGTGTCGCTCGCGCGTGCGCTGGTTCATTTCTACGTGAACAGAGATTATATATAAATAAGAAGGTGGAGATGGTGATGGAAGAAGAATTTGTGTAAAATTTGCAGAGAAAAAAAGGCGGCAAAAAGCCCGGTACAAGAAAAATCTAGTCAATAAGAAAACACATGTCAAGAAACAAAAAAAGTTGGAAAAATAAAACAAACCCCAAAAGCTGCAGCCAAACACACTCACACCGGTCTCGAACATGCACACTGTTTCTGAACAAACTATAAACGCGATAAATCTCACATTGACCGCAGCCTACGAACTATCCCCGATAGTATTATTAACCAAAAAAGGTAATAAAATTTCGTTTGAAGACTTGAAACAACTGAATAAGTGCAAAAACTAACTAAAATTAGGTACTTTAATACGTTACATTCGATATTTACTTGTATATATGGAAAAGTGTCAGAAGAAGTGGAGAAGATAGCAAAGAAGAAGAAGAAAGAAAAATATAAAATACTGTGGAAAAAATGAAGAAAAAATTAATGTAAAAATTATTCAAAGAATTCGCACGTGCGATAGAGAGGGAAAATAAGAAATTAGTGATTGGCCAACAACTGATCAAATCGTCAAAGCTAGACATTAGATGTGAATAATAATACTGGTTGCTTGCAATGAAACAAAAAAATTATATTGAACGTAGTTGCTTTTATGCTTATTACAAAAACTAAAAAACAAATTTGACGAGCGAAAAAAGAAGAGAAAAAAATGGCATAAACTCAAACCAACCAAAAAAAAAATGTGACTAATCCGACTTATAGCTAACTATTTAATAAAAAAAAACCTAAAAAATGCTCTGATTTTTTTGTGAATTAAAGAAAACTAAAATCTAAAATACATATTCTATATTTTTTGCCGACACAGAAAAAAAAAAACTGAAACTAACCAACCATAAGATCGTTTCTTTTTCTTATTCATTGTTGATCTAGAATTTAATATTTATCATCGACATTTTTCGCATATTCCAAACATTTCAAATATGAAAAGAAAAAAAAAAACTAACAACAACAAAATTATTCGTCACATTTGAATTTCGACATTTTTTGAATACAACAACAACAAAAAATATGAGACAAAACAACAAAAAAAAAAGAGCATAAATAAAAGTGAATTTTTTTATTCAAACAATAATAATAACAAGAAAAATCTTTATGGAAATAATTTGTGCGTATGTTTTTCTACATTTTTATACCAATTTTAGCCTGTTTAAGAAAATTTACTAGAAGAAAAGAAAGAAGCGAAGCGTAAGAACCAAAACACACAAACACACAGAGACACAGAAGGAGAACGAACTCAATCGATATCATTAGGTTGGCGTTTGGAATCAGAATTGTTTCAAAAACACTTTCGCCTTTCATGGCTCAATCAAATTTCTTGCAAATATTTTCGATTCGATGAAACTATTTAAAAAAAAAAAAACTTTGTTCTTCATTCGGACGTTTTGGATAACACAGATTTGTGAAAACTCCATCAAAATTTGCATTTCGGGTGGATAAACACATTGTTTGTATATTTTGCTATTGCTAAATGAATCAGAAACAATGCAAAAAATTCCGCTTTCACTCAAATTTATAGGCAAAATATATACGAAGCTTGCATTCGAATTGAATAAATTCAATGGAAACAGATTATTTTACTAAAAAATAAAATAAATTATTGATTGAAATATGCTCTTAAATTAATTTCCGCGCTATTCATGCGACATATTACTGCTACGCTAGGGATAAAAACTAGCTATTGATAAGAAGATAATACTCGGTTCAATACCTTGTTAAAAGAATTTCTTAATACGATTCCAATTCCAGGAATGTTGTTTTCATTTGACGAAAAAAACTCGGTAAATCGAAGAAATTGGTTCATTTATTTGGCTTTCGTTACTGTTCAATCAAACAAATTCCTTTCCAGTCGTCACTGTTCAATTTCCATCGTTAAACAAATGGAAAAACGTAAAAAAAAATTAAAACCAATGGAATTTGAAACCTTTTCGTCGGCTCTGTTTTTTTTCTCGCTATAATTTAAATGAATTCCAAGACCACGACCAAAAACCATTTTAAATATCTAGATGAGAAGCAAGCTACAATTGAACGTGACTATTTAATTAATCCGAACACTGCCCAATGTATACATATTAGATAAAAGAAAATATGGCGATGAATGAATAGAGAAATTTCAACAGACAGAAGAAATAAAGTAAAGTAAAAAATAAAATAATACGTACAATAAACGTTAAGCAAAATTCCGCTTGAACGGCCTCTCAGTTAACATTAAATTTAAAGCCACACCAAAATTTATTCGAGGATCACTCACCAAACAGAAAAAAGGATGATATTTAAAGTAAATAAAAATGTACCAGAAAAAATAATGAGAAAAACAAAAACACAAAGAAGATGCAAAATAAGGAATACATATTTATCAACAAACACATACAGACATGCCCACAAAATGTGGTCTATATGACATTAACCAAAACCAACAAACAAACAAAATCGCTCGAATGAACAATCACTAACCATATAGCAAAAAAAAAGAAGATACTATCAAGTTTTGACTGTGAACAATTTTCTTTCCTCCTAACTATCGATGGGTGTGAGCCGAATATGTGAACATCGTTGGGGATTCCTTCAAAACTGTTACAGTAACTTCCTTGGAAAAATCTTTAGCGATCGAATAAAACAGTCTATACAGATCTCGACGCACAGATTCTTCACTTTAGTGAAAACACATTTAGAAGTGCTTGAATTTTCACCGAGGAAGAGAGATCTCTCTGGGTCGACCCACTCACAAAATCACCCTCTCGATCTACGCGTCACGAACATAGACCGATCTGCGAATGCAATCCGAGGGAGAAAAAAATCGCCCGAATAATTATAGCGACTAAATAATAACCATTCTGTCCATACGTATAAAAAACGGAACAAAAAAAAAGAACGCATGCGATCGATTGTACGACTCAAGGGATTGAAACAAATAGTTATGACAAAGAGAAAGAAAAAGCATAATTATAATGAAAGTGAACATAAAAGAAGCAACAAATCTATAAAAACAAACATATACACGTCAACATATTATATCCTGATCTTTTGTTTCTTTGTAAACTCCTTGCTTCTTTGTTGATTGAAAAATTAAAGTTCAAACTATACGCACATCTCCCGCTTTCCCTCAAAACAACAACATTGACGACATGTAATTAATAGTTAATAATTAATAGAACAAATTGCGTTGATATATACTATCGTTTCATTTTGCTTTAAATGCCTGCACCGTTTCAAAAAAAGTCACTACTGTAAATATCTCCTATCTCTAAACATAAATGCATTTAAAAACCGAACGGAAAACCAAATAGATAGCACCGGGTGTTCGATTCGAGTGGCATACGCAACAAATTCGCCCTGATCTCCTCTCTATTTTCTAATAACCAAACTTATTTCGTCACAACAAATTCATTTGTTCGTTATTTTTGTTGGCTTTAATTCGTCGATTTAGTGTACGTGTGTGAGTTGATCGAACCCTCATTGCACTAAATACCAAATCTAGATAATATTAAAGAAAGAAAAAACAAATATATGAAAAAAATATATATTTACAGCGAAAATGTGAAAAAAAAAGTGTTATAGCGACAGATGAGATATGGAAAATATGTGTAAAGTTTAGACAAATGAGATGACGAATATAGTATTCGATTCGATAGCAAAATGATGATGATGATGGTGGGACAAAAACCGATGTAGACACACAGAGAAAGAGATACAGCGAGAAAATCTATAAATATTTGTAGCATAGCAAAATTCACACGACAAATGGACACTCTATGTCCAAGCATTCAAATTGCAATAGTTAAATGATCGATTTGAGTCGAGTGTTTGTGGAAGATAAATGGAAGTTATGATTTTGAATTGTCGCATAAATGCATCGATATTCAATATAATGATTTAAATGCATTATTTCCAAGGCATACAATCAAACGCGCATTGGAAATGGTGCCTTTACCTTCAGAATGCATTTTTATATGGTATTTTGTTTTTGGGTGACATTTTCAAACTGTGAAAAAAACCTCTCAAATATGATTTTAGTATTGCGATTGGGTTGCTTGGCCATTGGATGAACCCAAGAAATAAATATATAAATCGTCGACATCAACAAAAAAAAAAGAGAGAAGAGTTATTTATACACTGCAAATGGACAAAGTAGACGGAATATTCGATGCAAATAAATATAAAAGGTGGAAAAACAAAATATCTTTACAAATGAAATCAACTGCAAAGAAAAAGAAAAAGAAAAAAAGAATAAGAAGAAAAAAAACGCCCTATTTTATTGTAATTTAACAAGTAGTTTTTGCAAGACTCCCAAAACGATGAAGAATAAACTAAAAAAAAAAACTCGAAAAATGTTCACTTATAAATAAGGTTTACGATGAATGAATGAAAAAATCGGTTAACATTAACACATATTCGGTTGACGAGGATTCAACGTACCAAACAATGCAAGATAGAACGAAATAAATCAGAGTGTGTATTTATCTACCAAAGAAGAAAAACAAAATTATATAGCGACCATTCCAATGATCAACAGCAATATTTTTCAACTGGGAATATGAGGGAGTCGAAGAAAAGTCAGGCATTTCATTCGTTTTCAACTTCCAAACACATGAGAATTTGTGAAGTGCACGTTCGACTATATAAACATCTGCATAAAATTCGCCAAATTAAAAAAAAAAAAACCAAAAATATGACCTACCATCGGTGGTTGTGGTGGTGACACACCGATGATTGGAACCACCAGGCGACTGCTTTTCTTTTACTCCCTTCTTTCATTAGATACACACATGCAGCGAATGAATACATTTCCTACCGATAAAATGAAACAAAAATGCAACAGCACACAGCATTGTATATACATAAATGTGTATAAATGATGATGATGAGATAGATCCGGATAAACTGGCATATCGATATGCAAACAAAACAACAACAACAACACAAAACCAAGCTTAAACACTGATATAATGTACTATAAATAAGATGAAATATGACAATATTGTAATAAGTATTATTGAATAAATGCCACGCTATGTTCATATTTTGTTTCTAAATCTAAAACTTGCTGCCGTTCCGACTCTTGTTCTGGTTTCTTTTTCTCTCTCACACATACACAATTGTGTTCGATCTGCATTGCGGAAGGAACGAGTGCGATTTTTGAACAGCAATTTTTACATGCGTTCTATTTTTCTATCTCTTCCTCGCGTTTTTTTTCTTCTTCATCCATTTTTGCCCCTGTGAAAATGTGTGAGGTTTGATGCGCAACTTGCTTTTCATACAATCATGCTTTTTTTTCAAAAAGATTTTCGAGATTGTGTAATCCATTTTATTTTTTTTCGCAACCTGTTGAATAGAAAAATAAATTCTTTTTCAATCGCTTGTTTTGGCAACGTATCTTTTTCTGATTGAATCGCAATGTGGCTAAAAGGCGCTAACTGAAGAAAGAACAACAAAAAACGGATGAATGAAATTGGATTTGCACGCAACGCGTTCATCCATTTTTGCACTATCCGAATTGAACATCCATTCGGAACGACGATCGTGTGCGCCACCCGCCTGCACATACACTTTTTTCTAAAGCCACACTATATCTAACTAATATTTGGTTGTCACATCTCAAACCAATTGATACAAATGATCAAAATACAATGTTTTTGTTTGGAAAATGACATAATAAACCATTTAAACCGCGAATTGAGTGAAAAACACGCAAACCCCATTCAGTTTATCGATTGTCGTCGTGAACGAGTGCATTTGCATTTCAGAAATAAAACAAGAAGAAGAAGAGAGAGAGAGAGAGAGAAAACACAAACAAAACGCAGTTATCTACATCTATTCACATATTATAAATGAAGAGAGAAAAAAACATGAAATAAGATGAAATTGGTGATATAGTATTTAACAAATTAATAAACTGAAGCAACAAAAAGTTAAAACTCAAAAATGGAATAATACACAGTTAAAAAATAAAATAATAATCTTTCAAAATAAAATGGCATTTTTTTCCTTTCTGTGTTCGGTGTAAAATTAGCATTGAGTTTAAGCCGTTTTTCAATTGTTCAAGACTTGAGTGTGTTAACATTTTCATTAAGTCGAAGAAAAAATTATTTTATCCTTCTTTCAACTTCCATGTTTACGGTTACGTTTGAGCTGCAAAATTTGATGGTTGACCATACAATTCTCGTTGTCAAAATTAAACAATTCTGATCGGATTACTCGCGAAATTCAATTGCAATGGTTCACATTTGCATCAACATAAACTGAATAACTAAAAAGAGCAATGGCCACTTGCGCCGAACGATTTCGTCAAATAGAGCTCTTGAAGTTGGCTACTTTGTTTCAAAATCTCGAACCGGATTCAAAGTGAAGAGTACGAACAACTTTTTACATGTTTGGTGAAACAACATGACGGCTGCCTTTGACATGGCAAAGAATGTATATTGGAAATTTGCGAAACAGAGAAAATGGTGAAACTACCAAAAGATCGAACAGTATTGATCGCATTCGTCAACACAAAGAATTGAGCCGATTCAAAGGATGCCGAATTGATGCAGAAAGTTGTACTAGGCTGTGAACTAACGAAACAGTTCTATCTAGACGCTATCGCCAAATATATGATACAAGGTGAAGACAACTGTCTGACATATTGCATCAGCCACGCATAAATGGAGATAATTCACTGAAATATACCAACTTTCATTCATTTTTTTTTATTTTTCATTACTTCTCAATTTTGCCATTCCTTTGATTACAACCAGAGCAATCGTGTTGCCTTAAATCACTTAGTGAATATTTAGAAAAAAATCGATAAAGCAAAACCACAATCTTTCATTCCATATTGAGACTATTAATTTTGTTTTATTTTTAGAATTGGTTTAATGCATTTCTTGAGGTATACGACAAATTTTGAGCAAATTTTTACAGAAAAAATGCAATTGGGATCGACTTTAATGGGAAATTCTTATGTGATGAATATTTACGAAAAGAAGTATGTTGGTTTCCGTTTAAACGATTGCATTCTCTCCCTTTGGTAGACAATTCGTTTCCATTTGAATTGAATTTATATTCAAATCGCTCATGCTCTCCGTTTTACTCTCAGTTAGACGTCTGTATAAAGAAAATTTTACTATCGTAATGTAGGCATCGACCGCTGTAAAAAAAATCACATTTTAGATATTTGTATTGGTTGAAAAAAGAACTACTCGTTTCAATTGTACAAACCGATGAAGATAGAAACAGCAAAGTAGACAAAAATCGTTAGGATTATAATGTTGGAGATTTCGGGTTCATAGCAGTTGCAATCGAAGTAGCTCTCAAAGACGATGGAAAACAATCTGATTGAGTCTTTGAACACCGCTCCGATCGTAAACAATGAAAGGGCCACCGGAAAAATTAGTCCACATATCAAATAGTTTGGATTTTTCTGTTGATAAAAAAACGAGAAAAATTTTCGCATGAAATTTCATTAATCGATATTTTGTTTGTTTTTGATCTGCACTAACCGTAGCTATCCCATACAGCCAAGTGAGATGTACAACCATAAAGAAAACTGTGTACGAGAGCAATTGAGATAAAATTCGGTAAATGTAAATAGATAATGTTGACACAGATTGTCATTGACAGCCATTTATGGAACTACTAACGAAAATACTAACGATTGAAAGAGACGTCAATCCATCCAAATGCCAGTATTAGATTCAATAAATGAAATGATACTCCAAAACTTCCGATGAATAATCCACCCATTTTCAGATCGAAGCCACAGCAAGAAGACACCCGTGTTATTTGCATTGTGTACTATGGAGAAATGTACCAATAAATAAATGTTTGTACTTTGATGTCAAAACGCGTCATTCATTTATCATACTTGTTGATGAATTACAGTGACTAAATTAATGGCAACACACTTTATCTCGAAAATTCGGCTTAAACACGTGCGGATTGGCTAATTTCTCAAATGACATTGAAATAATGCAAAGCAAAAACAAATTGGTGAAAGCAACAGGTGATGTCGTTTGACAGATGAGCGGAGCAAGCGATTTAAATTTGATGTCATCTGACATTAGTACAGACGTATTGATGTGTTGCGGGGGCAATGCAAACAAAACACACTTCAGTTTATGCGATTTATTTCAATAATTGATTGTTTGAAATAAGACAATTGAATACAAAAGGAATATGTTGACGATTCAAATTCAGAACAGTTTTTATGAATGTTTTTGATAAATGCATGGAAAAATTGTAATCTTTGTATATTATTCGATTCGGATCTATAGATCCGATTTTTAGAATCCAGGACTTTTATTTATTCCAAATTCTAGTATATTTATTGTACCCAAAACACAAATTTTCACTTTGAAATTAATGTGAAATAACAAATAGATGGCATTCAAAGTGATTTTTTTAAAAAATATTTACGATAAACTAAGGCACTAAGCTGAATTAAACCATGAATAAAAAAAACTGATTAGTTCTTAAATAGATTTTACAACATTTTTTCCATTTAAAATTGAAATCAATGCACTGTTTTGATTGAAATATCAGCTAATATTATATGTTGAGTAAAAACGACGATAGAAAATGGATTATTATCTTAACGGAGTACTGTAGTTGGATACATGGATATAGTTAAACATCATTTGTTTGTGCGCCCATATTGACTGCAAATGCTCCATTTGTTCTGTCTTGAGCCACATCCAGTCCACCCTCCGTCATGAGCATGTACAACGAATAAAGAGCTATCAAATAGTAAATGTCAGCTACTGCAATTTATCAAAGAAAATGGTACACGTGAATTAAGATTTGGAAGGTCCATCGAATTTTTTAGATCATACAAACCCGTGATTGGTAAAAAAAAGATCCAAATTAAAAATATTTTATTTTGGTGAGCTTCAATTTCTTTTCGGTCTTCATGAGTTGCTATGTAATTTTCTACAACCATCGGGTAGATGAGTATGCAATTGATGAAAAACCAAACGAAAAAAAATAGAAGGAAAAGTCCGGGTAGCATTAGTTTCGGCTTATTCTGTAGATGTAGATAAAATTTCAAATTAAATTTTCTTCGGGATTTCCTCTTATTTCTAACTCGAAAAAAAAAATGAATTACCTTGTGAATTCCATAGATACAACTGGTATGTGCAAGCACAGGCAAAACTATTTTCACATAAAATAAATTGAGTACACATCGAACAATTAGAGTTGATTTTAACATGACTAAAAGAGAAAACACTTACGATCAAAAGCAAAAAGTATGGCCAACGATTTGACGGACAATAAATCCGAAGTCCAATATTTGATTTGAACGATGAATGTAGAAAGAATGATGGCAAATTGGATGGTCAATATGCTTTTTTTCAAATCAAACCCTAAGAAAGATTCAACTCGTGGTATTTTCAACATTTTTGGTATCTTGAACTGTGAAAAATCTACGAAAAAAAGTATTCTGAATGAACGACACACTCAATGAGCACTTGAGGATTTAAAGAAGTACCGATTATTCTGATTTAGCTGGCACAAATCACACAATGGCAATTGAGAAGAAAAAAACTGAACCGAAAAACGTCGCGAAAACTTGTTTTGAAACGATCACGATGGAGTCCAAGATTGCAATGAGATTTTTCCATTGTCCAAACTGATTTTATAGTCATAAAATGCATGACAAGCAAAATACCAAGTTGACTCATACCGAGTGTCATACACTTGCGAAATCAAAAAAATACAAGTCGATTCCATTTTATTTGAAGTAAATCACGCAAGAGCAGTTACGTTCAAGAATTGTTTACGATAAAATCGATAGAAAAGCAATATCGAAAGAGAAGACAAGAAGTAAACAGATGAACTGTGTTTTATGTAATTATTTGTTTGGTTTTGTTTTAAAAAACTGCTAATTGCAAGCATTGTCAGCATTTTAATTAAATCGATTGATTTTCATGTTAAAACCTTCGAAAATGTTCGGCCCGTTTTCGAGATAAGAGTGGAAAATCTACTTGAATATCAATACCCCGAGCAATTGAGAGAAACTTGGATTCAGATCCAGACATTATATTTACATTGGATAATTCTGTGTGGAACATCGATTCCTGATATGACTCTACTCTTCATTCTTGAATGCTTCATGAAAACGATATGCCATATTGCTTCAACTATGAATTTTTTGCAATTTTCCCCTGCAAAACGCTCTTTTTTATTAACACAATTTGTAATTTTCAAACAAAAAACGATGATTGTTTCTCAATCGGCGATTGAAATTTTTCTTAGCTACTATAACATATTTTGAGCGATTGTAATCACTATTTCAATCTTATAAGTCTATCGACATCGGTGGTTGGTCGATTGTTGTTGGCACCAATCTGTTGCTCATCAAAGGAAAATGCTATGCATTGATGTGTTGGACTTCACCTCATCATCTTTCATGGATTTGTAGAGTGAACATTTTACGACCCACAGAAACACTTCCATTGCTGCAAATGAAGAGAAAAATGCATTCAAATCATTGAAAACCAAGCATTTTTTTTCAATTCAACAACGATTCTTCAATCGATTTGGTACCAACCTGTTTCTTTAGCCAAAGCAATGCATGCAAAGAATGCCAGTCCCGCAAATTGTAATCCATCCTTGTTTGCATCCGAAATAAAGCCAATCGTTCCAATGATCGGCAACGCACAAACCAACAAGATCAAGAAAAGAAGCTGCAACGTGGGCAAAATCAATGCGGGTAACATGTACACCCTCTTCTTCTATTTGATGAAAGACATGGAGAGAAAATGAGAAGAAAAAAAAATCAGTTTTTTGTCGTATGAAAAAACATCGATGCAATTTCCGAAAATGTGAACAAGGTTTTTGGTTCAAATGACCCATTTACCTGGTAAATTCCAAAAACAAACCCAATGTGTGCCAACAAGAACAGAACTAATGATGAAGAATAAATGCATTAAATATAGAGAATTTTCGATTGATTTTTTTGAAAAACTTGTGCCAATTTCAATGCAAAATTAATTACCAACAATTGAAACCGTTACCCATGGCCGGAATCGCACTAAAAAGGCCAGTGGTGAGCTACTTAAAATGATGAGTTGTGTGCAACAGTAAATGATTTCCATCAGTCCGATGGCCAGTGCACCCGTTCTCAAACCCAGCAACCAGCAAGAATCCACCGTTGGAATTTTCTTCAACACCTGTTTGAGGTTAGAATGTTTTTCAATTAGGACATTTATTTTTTGTTCGATTCAAGTCACTTTTGCTATTTCATTCAAAAACTCACAGAGCTGATATCACACATGTTTATCTTTTTTCGATATCTAAACGACAATAAATCTAAAAGACAATATTGATCTATTTGAATTTGGACTGAAATGAAACTAAAACACGTTGTTGAAACAAAGAACAGTGCGGGATGTAGCCACGTGCAAACGTATTGAGTAGTGAATTTCTAATACGAAAATAATGCGCATCGATAGAATTGTCGTTGTCAATCTCTGGTGTTGATGGTGATGATAAAGTTCGATGTGCGACAAAGGTAAGTTTGTTAGTGTGCAAAGCATTGACACACGTACACTCTCTAATCAGCATTTGATACAGTGAGCCGAATATACACCCATTCTATTGCGTGTGGTTTCGATTCCGCATTGTTTGAAATTGGAGCAAAATCATAATTTTTTCCATCTCTTTTCTTCATCTCTTTCTGCGTGCAACCATGATGTCACAGCAGCGCAAAAACTGATTTTGTATCAGAGCAAGTGTGTAGAGCATATCGAATTGCGTGTGCGATTGCCTTACGCATGGAGAAAAAGAAACCGCAGCGCATAGCTCAGACGGGCCGAAATAATAAAACCATTTATCGGTTGTGTCTCATTCCAAAAATGGAAGAAAAATATCACTTAGAACGAAATATGGTTTTCATGGTTTGAAACGGATTCAACGCTTGAATTGATTTTTTGTATTAAATGAACAAAGCAGACGATAGTCCATGCAGGCGGCGACACTTTTGCGACAATTTTTTTTTCTCGGTCTACGCGGTCGACCAAAGCGAGTGCATACCATTTCGCTTAGTGCTGCTTAAAATTAATTGGCATGAAAGTGTCTCGCATCGAATTCTACGAATAAACTCTGCCGCACGTATCGAATGCTTGGTGATGTTGTTTATTTAATGCTGCTGATTGCACACAAATCTCCACCAAACGATTTGGCTTTCAATACACGTAACTCAAAAACAATAAATAAAATTATACTTAAACGCTGTAATGAAGACGAAAGACGATAGCTCTGTAGTGCTGTTTACATGTTCGCCTTTATTTTTGCTTCCATTTCGCACCGATGTTTTGATATGGTTTTGCATACACACATTCAATTTTTCAACGCATTTTGGATTTTTGTCACATTTTTTCACTTGAAGTGAATCAAAAAAAAATAAATGAAAATTAAATGATTCAGTAATATGTTGATAGGAAAGAAGAAAAAAAAACTATTGAAAATGGTCAACTTATGATGAAATTCTCGTTAGACAGGATGAACATAGCCGGCTGGATGTTGGATTGCATCTTTCATCGTTTTATAGAGTGAATATTGGACGATTGTGAGATATGCGTGGAAAACTGTCGATGAGAAAAAAAAAATGCATTCCAAATTGATATTAAACATCGTTATTTCAAGCAATATGGATTTCGAATGGAAATTAATAATGCACAAACGGACCTGTTGCAACACACGATACAATCCAGTAACCAAATGTACCGTTGATAATTTTTTGTATGGTACGAAGATCATTTTGTAGGCTTAGAATGAATATAAGACCGGTCGGCAAGTAAAACACCAGGATGACGAAAACACAAGAGACAATCGTTGATAAAACTAATGCCGGCAACATGAACTTTGGTTTTTGCTGTTAAAAATTATAAACACTATGATCAATATTAGAACATCAATTTTATTCTCACATTTAGTTTGATGTTAACAAAAAAGGAATCATCACTCACTCGATAAATGCCATGAAGCAAACCGAAATTTAACAACAAAACGACGACTGCAAGTTAATATAGAAGTGGAATTTGGTTTAAAATTGACTCTTTCTATCGGATAACTTCGTCAAAGATTTGAATATTCATCTTTCGTTGAAACACTTACTCGAAATTGCAATTTCGACATAGTTTTTGAACTTGGCTGTATGATATAAAAATCCAATACAGACACCTACACCAAACCAACCATATATCAATCCAATTGTTTTCAATTGAACACAACCTGTATCTTCCATCGTTAATCGTTGATGTTGATGGACAAAACTGGAAAAGGACCCGGAAAATCTTTGCAAATTTCCGAAAAAAAAATTATGTCAATTAAATTTGAATGACTGAACCAAAATCGGCGCTGCCAAAATGCCACTTAGCACACCGATGAAGTTCTACTGAATTTGTGAGAATTCAATCAATCACAATCGACGCGATTTGCGAAACTGAAATGAAAATGTCACTGTCTTCAGAGACGTTTAAAAGAATATGAAATTTTTTCGTTTCCTTCGTCATTTTTGCGATTTATTTATCAACTCATTAAAATATTCGGTTTCATTTGGATACTGTGTGGATATGTAATCAAAAAACCAGACCAATAAATACAGACAGAATTTTTTCGACTAGAATTGTAATAAATAATTGCCTCGTCAACAAACCATTGCACAGCGATCGGGATCGAATTACTCGTATCAATGTATGGAATTATTTGATTCAATGGATGATAAATTGCAATTGAAGCGTTTTTTGGACGACTTGCGATCCGTCTTTGAACGACAAAAGTACAAACATTCTCTTTATTTAGACACGATCGCATTATGTAAAACGAATGAAGTCAAAATATTGATTTCAACACGCATTTTCTGATCGTGATGATTTATTTGGTCAATTGAAATCGAATAATTGAACGGTGTTCCATTAAATGTTGTGCATGATGAAAAGTCTGTCGTTGCTCAACATTTATTTGTTGTGCTACAAACCGGAGAAGGCAATCGAACGATCGAACGAGCGAGCGAACGAGCGCAGGCAACGCATTTGACAATCGGTAGGTTCAGGCACACACAACGGTTTTATGTTTGTTGTTTCATGTTCACCATTTTCAATTTGTGTGCATGAGTTTGGTTGTTCAATTTTTATGTTAAGATCCCTTCAATTTTCCATGCAGTTCGTCGGCTGGATGCAGTTTTGCCTGAATATCAAGATAGAGAGAAAACCGCCTATCCATAAAGAGAAATAGACGCATTTTTAGAGATCTTGACAGCCATCAACAATGTTTGGATGGATTGGTGATAGGAAAGAGATAGAAATGTAGGCTGCTCAAGCATTAACCTGCTGTACGTTTGAGTGTGATCAAGAGAGAAGAAGAGTGAGACTGGGAGAGAGAACATTGGCAAACGAAAAATGAGCAAGAATGCATACACATGAACCGACTTCAGCACCGACCTCTCGAGAAGAGAGAACGAGACAAATCAAATGCACACGCATAAGCAACGTACAGCCAATGTTGAAAATCAAACACAAGCGTACGCACCACCGAACGAAAGTGCACAGTGACGAACGACACCATGACATTCATACACTACGTGCCCAACCGAACCGATAACGATTAGAAGATTCATTTATTTTTCTCTTCTTTTTCTTCTTGTGTTTGTCTCTTCTATTGTAGCCCATGCTTTTCGGTGTATATTGCACACACGCACACTGCATCTCGCTTCCCCCTTCTCTCTTTCTCTCTCTCTCTCTCCTTCTGTGTGCTGTTCATACCCATCAGCTTCGTCGGTCACACAGAGTGAGCCTTAATTCCGCATTCTTTTCTTACTCTCTCTCTCTCTCACTCTCCCGTACACACTGTCTTTTTTCTCTTTTTCAGTTGCCGATCGGCACACACTTGTGCAACTGTATTGGTGCAGCGCACATTTCATGTCTGTGTACAACATCAGTTTTACTTCAATATATTCTGTATACTAGGGTCGCAAGCCGGTCGAAATTCGACCGAGTAATAGTTGAAATATTATGTGAATATGTGTGGATATTCTGAATATAGATTAAAACACATCGGAATTGAAGAATTTCTGAATGATAAATTCCCCTAGATTGTTGCTCTTATTCTTCACCTTTTTTTTCATTTCTCTCTCTCTCTTTTTCGCCATATTTTCGTCGTATCATCTTCTTTGTCAATCAAAAAATATATATTCGACAATACAACTGGAATGATCACACCCACCCATCATCACATCAAGAAATGCAAACAAACTATTTATTATTGTCAACCATGTGATTCGCAAAACACTCAGCTCTCGTACTCTCTATCTCTCCCCTTTCCCTCTCCCTTTCCCCCGCACTCACATGTAAGAAAATGTGTCATATGAACACAAAATAATCAAGAATAAATTGACACATTTAATAATGATAATTTTACTTAATTTTTGTTTATTGAATTTTCGTCGTGAAATAGATTTTTATTATATTTCAAAAGTAGTGCATATTCGAAAATCGTCGATAATATTCGGTTTCGTCTTGGCGTGGAAATTAAAGACGATTGACTAAAAACCCTTTCGATGACTGCAGATGATGCCAACGTCGTATTGAATTTCACGTAAACTTTGCAAACATGTGGATAGTTGTCCACTAGGGGCTTTTAAGTCAAAATATACATTCGTATCTGTGTGAATATTTCGTGAATATTGCATATAATCCGTGTATATTATTCACCATATTCACAGAATATACACAGCATGTAAAAAATATGTGTTTACGGCAATGTCGAATCTTTGTTACCGATCGTGAATATGAGGTGTATATTTCATGAATATCGTGTATATTCCGTGAATATGGTGCATATTTTGCCAGTATTGTGAATATTTCGTATGACTGTCATCTATGGTCTATATTTCTTGGATGGAATATACATGGAAGCCCCTAGGTTGTCCAACATTTGAGCTTCGATACAATCATCATTCAGGAATCGATCAACAAGTGCAGCAGCAGACCTGAACATCAATACAATTACATACAATTTCCAAAAACCAAAACCGAAAATGATGCCGAATAGTTAAGATCATCACTCATCAGTTTAAGGCCCTTTTGAACTCACTTGTCAAATTGACAATGCCAATCAAATTTTGCTGCTTCATTTGAAATTTAAATATTTGCGTTCGGGACGATAATCATTAACTTATTATAAATAAATTATCTAAAAATAAACACAGATAGATAATAGATATCTATACATATTATTATCTAGATTTGTTTATTAGATTTTTATATATATCTATATCTATATAATTTTCACTTTTTCGCTCTATATTTGGTATCTGACCTAGATAACTTTTGATTATCTAAAAAAAACACTGTTGGCCACAATGCAACAACAGATTGAAATCCTGTCACAAAAATGTGGTGTCAACACTCGATTCATCAGCTACATATTTTCAATCACCGACACGGATAAATGGGAGAGTGATGAGCGCAAACTGATCGATGAAATGGAAAAAAGAATAGATTCTCTCAAATTCACGGTCCGCACTGTACCACTGTTGACACAACTACAAAATGAATTAGAAGTGCTGGCACTGGCCGAACAAATGAAAATACCTTTCCACGTTGCTGCCATCGCAATTCCAGTAGAAAAAAGTTATGCTACACGACTGTCGAAAAGAGAAATGATGGAATTTTTACAAACAGTGTTGAGTGATTTGGATCGAATCATCGACTTTTGGCTCCCATTAGTTGCTCAAAATGAAACATCACAAACGTGAAATTATAATATTCTTATATTTCAATGAAGATATAATGCCGTTTCAAGAAAATACACATAAACAGTCTTTCCACTCAATTTCATATTTACGCCTTAGCAAGAATTATGTATAAACGTGTGTATTTCACAACACAGTGCAATTTTTCCCAACTTTAAAATCAAATGAAATGAAATGAAATTTGCTGTAAATAATAAACATCGCTGAAAATTTAAAAAAAAAACATTCAACGACTCAATCAGTGCCGAAATATAGCGGCATTTTATTTCTCAAACAAACACACGATAAACAGCTCCAACAACTGTGCATGAAAATACGACAACAACAACCCGGCTTCCACCCAGTCGCTCAGCAGTCAGCACGAACGATATGAACGCATACAGCTGACGTCACATTTTCCCTTATTCCCCTTCACACACATTCGTATTGGCTCAGCGTCTCAGTGAACCCGTGTATTTGTTGTTGTAAATCGCTTCGTACGATTTGTATGGGAAAAACACGTACTTAGAAAAATGCGTATAAAAACGCATCTACGCAACAAAAGTACAAATATTTTTTTTATCGCAAATCTACGCTTGGTGACCTTTCCAACCATACCTATGGCAACCAAATCGGTTGAGCATAAGTTGGTCAAAAAGGTACCACAATTTATCCCTTAGCCGATTAATATATAGATAGAGTCTATGCACTTGACCATTTAGTTAGTTTAGTTTTGAAAGCCACAGTGAAAACAGTTGGTAATCATTTGTTATATTGTTTGTGATGGATTCGGGTTGCTGTTGTGGAAAAAGCTGTCCAGATCGAGGTTTAGCTACCAGCGTAAGTTACATTTTCTCACATTTCGATGTGCAAATTTTTACGCACGAAATGCAAATAAAAAAAAATAAAATAAAATAATTTTTTTTAGACTCGCCGCCAGGCAGGCATCGACCGGAAAAACGAAGAAGAACAGCGAGCAAACGAGCAAGAAAGGAGAGAGCGACAAGCTGAAAGTTTATTTCAAGGGACCAAAAGCGTAAAATTGGAAGTTCGGCACGAATCTCAAATCACTAGTACAGATTTGAAAGAAATTCAAGAACAACTAACTGCTATTCAGGCTGGTTTAGATCAACTTTGCGACAGATTTTTGAACTGGTAAATGAGAGTCCCAAAAAATTAAAATATTTTTTTGTTCATTTCAATATTGCTCATGATTTGTTGTAATTTTTTGTTAGATCCAGTGTTGTCGGAAAGTAGAAATAATTTATCTAGATAAAGATAAGATATTATCTTATCTAAATGAAAAAAGATTTGTATTATCGATTTCACTTTATTTGCTATTTTGGAAAAACAGTTGTTTTGGTGTGAAAATGGTTCGCCAAAATGGCATACTTTACCTGCGTGTATCATCCTAAAAATTATCGCCATTGCTGCTTTTCTTGAAAATCGATGAAAGTTTATGGCAAATACGCGTGGGCG